CATTTCCATTCACACCACTAAAAAACCCAACATTAATATCTATCTGATTTTCTTAATTCACACTTCACATAACTGGAAAAAAATGACCCTCGTAGAAAAGGTCGTTTGAAAAGACTAAAGTTATCGTATTTTCGTCATTTCTCTCATATTACTTTATTAGTATCCACCGAAAAATTGGACATAAGAAAATAGAGGCATAAATTAGGTTGGACCGAAAAATTCAACTGGCCAGTGCCTGATCTTGTTTAAGAGGTATAAGTACAAACTTGTCAAAACGCAAACTTACTTTTGTGGCTAGTCATCATGGATAGAGTGCAGCACAAGGGATTAGTTCGTTGTTTTTTTTTACAAAAGTGGACTTTATTACACTTAGAACTGGTCGGTTACAAAGAGGGAGAAAAGAACCAACAATCTGGTTCCAACAAGAGGAAGCCCAAGGGCATTCGGTTACAAACAAAGCTGTGTAAGACAAAATGCAACAATAAAGAACAAAACACAGTCTGCAAGCAACCACCCAAAAGAGCAAAACCCTTGACCGAAAAAGATCATCATGAATCTCTCTTGCAAACAACCAATCAAAGTGCAACAAAATCACAATTAGCTTGTCCGATCATATCGAAATCCATGGTAGGTGAACATCATCACTCCATGTGCCGCCTCCTGGGGAAAACTCAAAGGCATCCATCACAGTGAATCTAGAAACTAGACTGCGTGGCGGTGGAAGAGGATATGAACCAGATTGCTCCAAGCTGAAGAGGCAGAGGAGGCCGAGGCAGAGAGATCAGTTTCGAAGAAGAGCAGAAGCTCCCAAGGTAGCCACAAACTCCACGAAAAACACCGATTCCCAACCGTAACCACCGGAGAAGACCCAATCCACAACCATCCGACGGCTCACCAAGCCACTCAAACACCTAGGGAGGTCGGAGAGGAAAAGAAGGGAATGACTTCATCTTGAAGATGAGGCCACCAACAAGGGACTACCCCACCATCCAGATCTGGAAGAGGCTCCCAAGTTGCAGACTCCAGCTCCTACGACGAGCAAGCCCAAGAACCAAGATCTGAAAGAAGAGCCATAGCTCAACTGGAAAGGAGAAAGCTGAAAGCCACAACGGCTGGAAATCCGAATAAAAACTGCCCAGGACTCAAGCAAAGGAAACAAAGCATGATAAAGAAACAAAAAACAGGAACATAAAAATTTTGGGCCACCACCGGTCACCTAAACGGAGCCGGCGGCAGCCCCTGAAATCAGAAAAGGAAGACTAGAAGAAGAGAGAAGGCAAAGCAAATTTCAAAAAGGAAAGGTAGAGAGAGAATGATTTGGTAGGTTTTTTCTCGGTGTCGATTAGTTCGTTGTTTGATGGCAGATTTATGACTATTCTTGTTTGTTGTGCCTAGGAGATATGAGAATCGACATCAAGAGTTTGCTAGGGTTAATTCCCAAAATAATATTTTTTTTTATTTACCACCAATATGGTGGTCTTAAATATAATGACACAGATATTGTGTTTTTGTGGGCAAACAAACGCGGGCTCGCAGGAGACTCATTTAAATGCGGATCCAAAGTGGACTAATGTGGACCCGCAGCAGACTCATGCGAATTCGCATAAGTGAAGAGGACCCGCAGCATACTCAAGCGCGTTCACATTAAAGAAGATTCCTCTTATCTTCTTCTCCACCCCGCCCCTTCGTCCGCAGCGACGCCCTTTCCCTCCTCTCGCCAGAAACCCCCCATCGCCGACCGCCACAAACCCACAATCCAAAGCGGGTTCGTCCCTGACTCGTGCGGAAATGGCCGAGAGTAACGCGGAAGCACAACAGTGAAGAGGCACCGAACAAAACCATATCTTTTTTTCTGGTTTTGATGTCGGACTCCGACGAAGAACAGGCGGCCGCCGGAGGAAGAGGCCGTGGAAGAGGACAACAAGCACGCGAGCGGTACCGAGGTGAGCGATTCATCAGTAGGAATGTCGCCGCCGACCACCGAAAAGTCGCCGCCGGCCACCGGAGTGTCGTTGCCGGCGACCAGAAACTCGCTGCCGGCGGGTTTTTCTTTTCTGTTTTTTTTTTTTTTTTTTTGCAGTTCCTAGGATTCTTGACAGGCATTCTACGAGACGACCACCTGCAACGATAGATACAGCTCCGGTCGATTCAGTACTCCTTTGGGCACATGGTCAACATCGTGCCGACTCAGTTTGGATTAACGAGGTAAGTATTTTATGTATTTTATTTCATTAAAGTTCATTAGCTAGTTAGATTATAATTTTGTGAAATTAGTATTAGTTTGATTAGATATATTTTACTAAATTAGATTGATTTTACTAGGTCAACTGAAATATTAAAATTGCATGTGAAATTTTGCGAAATTATTATTAGTTTTAGATTTTGTGAAATTAGTATTAGTTTGATTAGATATATTTTAGGGCAAATACCAATGGGAAACCCGAACTATTAACTTTGTGTCATTTATGTCCTAAAGTATTCGATATGACATTTGTGTCCTAAACTATTTTTCTGTTAGAGTTGACCGGCGTTGACCGTTAGTTTTTAACAGAAAGTATAGTTATCGCTGATGTGGCATCTGGCGTGGAATTTTATTTTTTTTTATTTTTCCATAAAAAATATTGAACTAACAAAAAAACAAATTAAAAAGCAAAAAGGGGGAGAAGGAGGGAGAATCAAACTTCCCTCTCCTCCTCCGCAACCGAGGCCGTCTCTTCAATTCCCCCAGCTGATACCCGATTGTGACCAGGAAAAATCAGAACCCATATCCAAATCGAGAACGCGAGAAGGTAAATCCAGATCAAGCAAACCCTAGATCGTGATGCTGGAAAGAAAACCCAGATAGCACACACCCAAACCGGCAACGATGAAGACGATGAAGACGGGGCTGGAGAGGATCCGAGAGAGGGAGGGAAATCGGCAACGATGAAGACGATCTCGCCGTAGTGGCCGGCGATTGATGCATGTTCTCCAGATCTCTCGCTGCTCCAGATCTACTTCGGACCTCTCAATCTCTTCGCTATCATCATTGGGGTTCGCCTTCGTGCTCCAGCAATCATCTATGATTTATTCATCAGATGGACTCTCCTCCTCACCTGCCGCCATACAATCTGAAATCGATTTGCTTACCTTCATTCTCAGCAGATTACCTTCAAGGCCACCGTCGAGATCGAGAGCCGCCTACGCTTCCTTTGTCGCATCTGCCGCCGTCGCTTGCGCCAGTTGAGTTTCCAGAATTGCCTCTCCTTTATGAATTTTCGGGAATCGGCGGAATGCAGAGTATCCCGCTCCTTTTTTGGATCGATTAGGAGTTGTTGCTATTGGATTAGTATTCCGCTTGGTGTGGATGTATGAATCGAAATCGACTTCAAAGCTAGATGTGAGTTGTTCGGAATCTGGGGAATGGACGATAGCTACCCAACTTTGCAGTGCCGCTAAATGAGAAAGTGTATTAGAGGAACAAGGCAAGCCAAATTATTGGGTGGAATCGTTTCTCACTTGAAGTAGAAGATGATGAACTCCTAATCCTTCATGCTGCAGACCCTGACTTGAATTTTGGGACAAATTATATTTTTTATTGTTATTTATGGGGATGCTGGAGGGTAAATCCAGATCAAGCAAACCCTTGAGTGAGTTTATATATATTTTTTTAATTTTTAGTTTTTTCAATTTTAGTATTTATTTAATTTTTAATTAAAAATATGAGGTGTCAATGACATGGCATCTACGTGGCTGTCACATGTTTGCCACGTCAGCAAAAGTCAACATCAAGTTGACCACCGTCTGGTCAACCGTTATATATAATGGTCAACAAAATCGTCAGGACATAAATGACACAAAACTATAATAGGTTGGGACACAAATGTCATATCGAATACTTTAGGACACAAATGACACAAAGTTAATAGTTCGGGTTTTCTAGTGGTATTAGCCCTATATTTTACTAAATTAGATTGATTTTACTAGGTAAATTGAAATATTATAATTGCATGTGAAATTAGTATTAGTTTTCATTACATATATTTTTAGTAAATTAGATAGATTTTACAATATGTTCTGAAAATAGAATTACGCCATGAAATTGAATAGGGCTGGTGTTCGGTAAACCGGTATTCGGTATACCGGGTATCGAACCGATTATAATCGGTATTCGGTATACCGAATACCGTCGGTATCGGTATTCGGCTGCACTTCTTGACCAAACGGTATACCGAATACCGACCAGTCATATACCGACGGTAAATCGGTATACCGAATACCGAATAACAAAAATAAAAAAAGGAAACGACAGCATTTGAAATTGGGAGGTGGGGGGGGGGGGGGGCGTGTAAACCCTAAAATTAAATCAACATCTGCGCAACCCAGCACATCGGCCCCTCCACCTTTCCTCTGTTCGACTTCAACTCTTCTTCTCCAGCCCGCCGAGGCGAATTCCAGCGCCAACACAGCACGCCCCGGCGGTCTTCCCCCAGGACATTCATCCCGCCCTTTCTTTATCGGCCGCAAATCCCTTTCCACCAACCGCCGCCACCACTACTATCTAATCCTTTGCCTAAACTCAAATTCTCCTTATCACCAAGGGGATGCTTTGAGCGTCAGTCAGTTCCAATGCTTCAAGTTCCAAGTATTCACAATAAACTTCAATTGGATTCCAATTAGTTAATCTCCAATGCTATCGTCAGTTTCTTTATCTAGAATTCTAATGGTATAATCTCAATGCATTAATCGGTATTCGGTATACCGGTATTAATACCGGATACCGACCGATTACCAGCCCTAAAATTGAATTAATATAAGTTTTGTGCACTATGGCTGGTGATCGTGTTTACCAGACTCGAGGTACGACCAAATTGGTCACGTACCATCCACGTTATGAGCCGTATCTCCAGGATGCCGATTTGTTTAGCGTTCAGCAGTTGGTCCCTATGACTGGTTGTATAGATGCATCTTTGATCACCGCTCTAGTAGAGCGTTGGCGTCCTGAGACATCGACCTTTCACATGCCGGTCGGTGAGGTTACGATCACTCTTGAGGACGTTGCCACACTGAGCGGTTTACCGATCGACGGTGAGGCCGTCATAGTAGACGTACCAGATCGTGAGTGGTCGGAGACGTGTACCAAACTGTTAGGACATGCTCCTAACGATCTTAGCGGGGGTGTCATTAGGCTTAGTTGGCTTAGGGAGCATTTCAACAATCTGCCGCCAAATGCATCAGCAGAGATTACAGGGCAGTTTGCACGAGCGTATGCCCTATCTTTGATTGGGTCTATGTTGTTCCCCGATCGGACGGGAGCTACAGTTCACCTGCAGTATCTACTCCTGTTGGAGAATTGGCGGACCGCAGGAGGCTACGCTTGGGGAGCAGCTGTTCTAGCCTACCTTCCGAGCAGTGGTTCCACTGATCTGTTTTTCAATAGTGATGTGGCACCATCCAGATCGGGTACTCCGACAGTTTGGCATGATGCAGAATGAGCCTCATCATCCAGCTCCTGAGGCTGAGATTAGGTGGTTTCTTCGCCAGACAGCTCGTGGGCCATCGCGAGGGCAGCGGTTGATGCACGCCTCCAGAGAGTTGATTGATTTGTGGAGTCGTCGACATGAGTATATAGCGACTAGGCCATATACTCAGGAGACTCTAGCCTACCACTCGGAGCATCTCGAGTGGTATCGAGATGTTATTAGACGTGCCGTCACACGGAGAGCAGCAGGAAATAACGCAGCGGTTAGTAATTTATTATTTCAAAATAAATTTTTAGTGGATTGAAATTCTTAATTGTGTGGAATATTTGATATATTAAATAAAATTGCAGTATGACACCTTTGAGTACGCTGAGATTACGGGAAGGAGAGTTGTCCACAGACGATAGGATGGAGTTGGCCGACATGATGGTGGCCGGGGTTGCTGCTCTAGGTTTGGATTCTCGCCGACATCATGATATGACGGTACCAGTGCAGCCACAGTCATCTGATCCTAGCGTTGACCCATGGCCAGATCGTACTGCTAAGAGACATGAGTGTGACGTGCGAGGCCCACAGCTCACAGAGGAGCCCAGGAGGCGTATACAGCGACGTGAGCACCGCGACGTACCTCACCCAGTCTGGATTTCAGATCGTCAGCGAGCACGTCCTGTCCGGCCTACTACTACCTTCGACTTCATGCGGCAGTTTCAGCCCTCCTCTTCTGCGGGATTTCAGCCTACCTAGACCCAGTTTCAGCCTTCCCAGACGCAATTTCATGGGGAGTGTTCTTATGGGTTTCAGCCTTCTCAGACTCAGACCCAGTTTCAGCCTACTCAGACGCAGTTTCAACCCTCCCAGACGCAGTTTCAGCCCTCACAGCACCAGTCTCAGCCCTCCCAGACGCAGTTTCAGCCTTCGGGATTTCAGCCATCACTCGATAGCTTTCATACACCGCCGCATCATGTTATGATGGGTGGCGGATACACATCCTCACCCAGAGCAGGTTCACCGAGAGCATCCTCACCCTATAGATGGAGAGACACCATAGATGGGGACGATAATTTTTTGGACCAGATGTGGCATCCTCAGTCTCAGATAGATGCACCAGTTGAGCATCCCCAGTCTCAGATAGATGGTTTGTTCGGTACACATGATCAGGATGATGGAGATCTGGCTCAGCACGATCAGGGCAGGCCAGTACGGGACAGACATGCACCGTTGTGTGGTACTGGCGGTCATCTTGTGGATCCTCTTGGTGGTGGTCGTCGTGGTGGAGGTCGTTAGTATTATTCTGTATGATGGTGGACTATTTATTTCATGTCATGTAGGATTATTATGTATGATGGTGGACTATTTATTTCATGTCATGTAGGATTATTATGTATGATGGTGGACTATTTATTTCATGTCATGTAGGATTATTATCTAGTTCAAACCATAACAACATCGATCAATCCATTACATATACATCGAAAAACAATAACAAACATCAAACAATTACACACTCGCACATTCAAACCATAACAACATCAACCCATTACATATATGTCGAAAAACAATAACAAAAACAATTACATACCACGTCTATTACCACTACTTCCTCTTCTACCACCTCTCGCACATCTACCACTTCCTCTTCATTGGCTCTCACTGCCACTTGCTCCTCCACCAGAAGTTGATGCACCATGTCCACCTAGTTCCTCTCTTGGCCAATCCATCTCGTTGTGAATTCTTGTTGTTCGTGGCCTCCCCGGTTTCCTAATCATGTGCACGTTAGGATGGAGAGTAGAATCATTGTGCTTCTTCCACCCCTTAGGTTCACCAAGAGGTGTGAAACTTGTCCCATAACAAGCCAACACTGTTTCCAGCTTATAGATGTCATTTACAAACCTATACGGGTTAGCCCCCATTCGGTTGCAAGCTGCAATGGCATGAGAGCAAGGAATTTTATTTCCTTGGAATTTCCCACAAGTGCAAAATTCCGCTCGATTGTGGTCATCAAAATGCACTGTGAGTGTGTTCGAACCCGTCATGTTGAAATTGTTGGGAGGAGTCTGTACTACATAGATGCCCTGACGTCGATCAACCCCCGTCACGGAATGTCCCACTGCCTTTTGTGAACATGTCTTCATCTTCTCTTCGCACTTGATGGTGTGCTGTGAAGGTCCACTTCCGATTTGTGCTTCTGTCTCCAACCTCATCTTATCGAATTTCTCCAATAATCGCCAATAAGTATGTTGCACAAGAGAAGCTATAGGAAGTGAACGAATACCTTTGAAAACACCATTGATGCTCTCTGCCATGTTGGTCGTCATCATAGACCATCGAGTCCCACCATTATAGTTATCATGTGCTAAGCTCCAACGAATTTGATTTTGATCCACCCAGTTGTCACAAGAAATATTTCTTTCAGTGGCCATCTTCTTAAATTGCTCAACTTGACGATCGAACTTCTCCAAGCGTTTTTCTCGGGCTAACAAAATAAATAACCACAAGAGTTAGATAAATGCATGATAATATTAAATTAAAATAAATAATATGTTGGAGTGTCAATCAATAACGATGAAGAGACTTACCGACTCGAACCAGTTGGTTATACATAATTTTGCTTTTTGTCTTCTTTTTCAAGTTGCTTGCATAGTGTCGCATGCACTACCTCCACTCCCAACCTCTTCCGATGTCACCCATGGCTTCATAGAGTCCCGCATGTCTATCTGAGATGATGCATACGTCATTTCGATCAATCAAACCTTGAACGTGATTTATAAACCATGGCCAACTATCAGTATTCTCGCTCTCCACAATGGCAATTGCTATTGGAAAAATCTTCTTCCGGCCATCAAATGAGCTCGCCATGAGTAGCACTCCTTTATACTTTCCAGTAAGAAAGGTTCCATCAACAACCATGACTCTTGGACAATTCTTGAATCCATCTATACAAGGTCCATAAGCCCAGAATACTCGCTGAAAGATCGAATGACCTGGTTGAGCTGAAGGAACTCTTACCCAATCAATAACTGATGTTGGCATTTTTCTCTTTACCACCTGCAAGAATGTTTGCAAATAATCATAGGATTCTTCCCAATTTCCAGGCAACTTCTCCAATGCTCTTTGTTTCCCATACCAAGCCTTCTTATAAGTAACTTGCATATTAAATTTATCTTTCGTCTCGGCTTGCACAGTTAGAACACTCAAATTAGGTTGGGCACGTACCAAATGTTTCACGGACTCAGATATAATGTCGACATCAAGATGGCGATGATCTGTCGGTTGAGTCGTATTGCTACAAGAATGCACCAACTCGGCCTTCCTCACAGTCCATTCGCTTCCAACGTCTCGACATCCAAACCGCACCATCCAAGGACAATTTTCATCCTTATGCTTCAAGCATCTAACCTTCCAGATTGAAGGTGATGACTCCACCATGCCATACTGAAAGTTGCGTTGTAGTGCGTGGTGTTTAACCGCCACCTGTGCAGCTTGTTTCGAGTGAAATATCTGGCCTTTGTAGAATTCCCCTTCAAAACCAGTAACGATAGGCATTGGAATTATCCCATATGAATCAACATATGATAATTCATCATCCTCTTCATTAGCCTGCAAATAAAAAAATGGAGGAAAGTTAGGCTGCTCTTCTTCCCCATCTTCCTCCTCCTCCTCCTCCTCCTCCTCGTCGTCGTCCTCATAATCATGGTCAGATGGCACACTCCATGTATCATCTTCACCCTGATCAGCCTGGCTAATCTCAGCATGTACCTCAGCACCCAGACAATAAGGATTTTGTGCCATAAAATCGAAAAGCACATTCAAACCATCATCATCCACAATAGGCATCGCATAATGAAATAGAACACCATTCTGCCATTCTGGAAGACGGTAAGTGAAACCTGTGATCATATCACTATCTTGTACTACTTCGTCTCCGGCCTAGTCCATTTCGAATCCGCATTTCAAACTAGTAAAATTGAGTCTCCTGCGGGCTGCGAGCCTGCGTCTGTTTGCCCACAAAAACACAATATCTGTGTCATTATATTTAAAACCACCATATTGGTGGTAAATAAAAAAACAATATTTTGGGAATTTTCCCAATTTGCTAGATGTTTATATATTTCCTTTGTTTTAAGGTTGAGTCTTGTTGGTCTCTGCCTCTTTCTTGTTTCTATAACTAACCTTATATATTTTACTAGCATAAGCCAGCGCTACCACTTCGAGTGGTGGCGAGAACATAATATTTAAAATAGTACTAGTGAAATGGTAGTTTGTTGTTGGGGGATGACAACGATTAATTTAATGGAAAGAGAATTTAGAATTGTTTTGAATGTTGCGATATTTTTCTTAGAGAGCAATAAATTAGTGACATACCGGGAAGACGAAATTAATAATGTCAAAAATTCGATAGCGCCTGCGGAAAATAGTGCAGGAAAACAACTTAAATTCCGCTGAAACTGTTTCGAGATGGATTCTGAATTAGTGGCCGAAGGCGAGGATTGGGCAGAGCAGATCTTGTATGGATCTTCAATAGTGATCGTGTCGAACGGTGGAGGGGAACAACTTAGGATTCCGCCAACAATGCTTAGAGATGTGATGCAAATTGGTGGGTGAATAAGTAGGCAATAGATGAAAACTCAATGGATAGTAGCTATCACAGAGAAAATAGTGAACAATATAGCTGAAAACCTAGCCAACAATAGCTGCGATGGAAAAACTAGAGGACAATAAGTGTGGATCCTCCGGATAATATCCCAAGACAGAGCAACTGAATGAGAGGTTGCAACAAAAGAATGTCTTCCAAAATTTTGCAGCTTAGGAGAAAGATGTGTGAGTGAATTGAGAGCAGTTTGGGGGCCACTAATAAATAGTAACTCAAATAATAGACTTTTATATATTAAATAATAATAATAGCTAATGATGTATTTTACATAAACCATTGTAAAAATTAATAAAAATTATTTACATGCTTTTAATGTTACGTATCTAATTGTTTACTACTAGTTACCAATTCCCAACATCAACACTAGCTGTAGCACGATCTGAACATTTCACTTGCAAATTTAGTGCACCCACAGCTGTAGTACGATCAGATCAGTTCACTTGCAAAACCAGTGCACCCGTATTAACCGGTTTGACAACCTTGGGCCTGGCCCATCTGAGCGGTTTTTGGTTGGACCCACCCGAAGCTGCGTTTTCCTTGTCCGATCAGGAGAAAGAAAAAAAAAGGCTAAATTACACGTTTGGTCACTCGAATTACATAAATATTTCACGTTTGCCACTCGAATTACTTTTCTTTCTTATTCACCACTAACTTTACGAATCGTTTCACCGTTGGTCACCGACCGTTAGTTTCCGTTAGACACTATTAACTCTGTCAGTTTTCTGATGATGTGGCAAACAGAAATGCTGACTGGACCGTTAACTTAGTGACATGTAATTTCTAAATTTCTAAATTCCCTTTCCTCTTCCATCCATCGCCGATCTCTGGAAATGGAGCCATCGCCTTCCACCGCCCCGCCGGCTGCAACCACCGACGAGTCTAAGCTACCTCATGTAGTTACGGAGGCCAGATAATCCCGCGCCCTTGAACCAATTCTCTCTTCTACGCTGGGGGCGACACCCGCATTATCACAGTCCCTACCACCCCCACGCATTGTCGCCATCCTCCGCCTCAGAACAACGTTTGCTCTCAAAAGTCACGTCTTTCGAATCGGGGAATTGGGGATCCGTCGTCGCCACTCGCCACCATCAACCTCTGTTGCCCACAACCAAAACCCATCCCCTTCCTCCGCCGCCCTCAATATCAATCTCAACCACAACGACTCATCCCCCTCCACAGTAGACGACGAATTGGACGCGGAAAAAAGGGGTGATGATGATAGAAAAGGAAGGGATGTTTGAGAAGTCGTCGACTCCATCCGACATGGGGAAGCTACTCGGGATTTTGCTTGTAGGGATTTGGCCGGATAGCAAGTTGTGGCTGGGGTCGATAGACTGTACCAATGCAGGACTGGGTGATTTAGGGATGAAGATGGTTCCGGTAAGGGAATTTCGAGAGGAGCTGGAGGTTTGGAGGGTCGACAATGAAGGAGGGATTGAGCCATCGAGGCGATTGCCAGCTAGGGAGACGGATGCTGCCTAAGCTCGGATGGATGGGGCCTGCGAGGGAAGATAGCTTAAGGCGGCAACGGCTGTGGGGGAGATGGCGGGATCCCCAACACCGGCTTCAATTGCGAGATCCACAGCTAGCGAACGCTCCCGGATCCGGCAGAGGCGAGCTTGATGTTGTTGCCATCGATCAACACGATGACAGTGGCGCTTCCTGGACGAAGAACAGGGGAAGGTTGAGAGGAGGTCTCAAGGTTTGGGGATTTCTTTCAGATGATTCGGACGACGGCGAGTGAAGGAGAAGAAGGAGAAGTGGAAGGGTAAGACGAAAGAGGGGATGAGAAGGATTGTGATTTAATTTTCTTTTTCTTTTTCTTTTTAGCTCTTAAGAAAATGTAGAAAAATTAAATATTAAGTTTTGGTCAATTGGATTGGATGTGGCTGACTAGGCGGTCAATTTGTATGACTCAGCCTTTTTGTGAGCCCGCTCAATAGTTCTGTTTGCCACATCATCAAAAAGTTAACGGAGTTAATGGAATCTGACGGAGATTAACGGTCGGTGACTGACGGTGAAACAATTCGTAAAGTTAGTGGCGAATAAGAAAGAAAAGTAATTCGGGTGGCAAACGTGAAAGATTTATATAATTTGAGTGACCAAACGTGTAATTTAGCCGGAAAAAAAAAAAGGAATTTAAACCCCCCTCGCGCGCACAGCAGCTCTGAACTCTGCCGCGCAACCCTAGAAGGCAGTAGCTCGACAATTCTCTGTTCGTTTCCCGTTCACCGGCCGGCGGGAATCCTCCGTCATCCTTTCCGGGTACTGAAAAACCCTAGGGTCTCCTTACAGAAAAAGTTAGTTCCAGTATATTCGTCTCCCCTCAACTCGCAGCCTTCCATAACCCTGATTTCTGCGCCGGAGGCATCAATGGATTCTCGGCTGGCAAATACTTGGCGTCCGACGGTAAACGAAAAGAAATTTATCGAGACTGCTTTGGCTTCTAACTTGAGAATCGATGACTATAACCGGAAACCCATTGAGTATCGGCAGCTAACCATCAACTTTGGAAGGCAGGTTTTCTGTTCCCCTCTTCAGACCCTTCTTCTCTCTTGTTGGGTAAATTCCCATCAATGTTCTCTGGCTGCTGGAAGCTGTGTGTGTGATACTGGGTTCGGTGCTGTTCTATTGGACACGAGTCACACGACGAGAATGCATTTTTGCGCTGATTATCAAAGTTGTTTGTCATGAATTTTTCAGGGAAGACGGGTCATCTGAGGTGCAGCTAGGCCATACTCGTGTAATGTGTTTCGTGTCTAGCCAACTCGTTCAACCTTACCGTGAGCGTCCGAATGAAGGGACAATGTCAATTTTCACCGAGTTTTCACCAATGGCCGATCCATCGTTCGAATTAGGCAGCCCAGGAGAGGCTGCAATAGAGTTGGGCCGCATGATTGATCGTGGGTTAAGGTAATTGCTTTCGTTTTTGAGTTCGACCTAGTCGACAGAGAGGGAACATTGTGAAAACCAGTAGAGTGGATAATTTGAATTACTAATGCACAGGGGAAGTAGGGCTGTGGATATGGAATCACTTTGTGTTTTGGCTGGGAAGTTAGTTTGGGCCATCAGGATTGATCTCCACATCTTGGATAATGGAGGGTGAGCTCCTCTATCCTCACTTTTCTGGTCTTGTTTCTGTTGCTTTGCTTTGTTTCTAGTTTAGCAATTGCTTGTGGTGTTAGTTCTGGTAATCTCTCCTGCTAGATACTCATATAGTCTGGTAACAGAAATCTCATTGATGCTGCCAATGTGGCTGCTCTAGCTGCACTGTTGACGTTTCGGAGACCAGAGTGCTCATTAGGGGGAGAAAATGGTCAAGAAGTAGTTGTACATCCACCTGAGGTTAGAAGTTAGAACATTAACTTCTTTACCACTCAGCAAAACTAAAAATGTTCTCCGTGGATATAAGGGTTCCATTTTTTCGTTGAGGGGAACTCATGTTGCAAAGATTTCTTGTCCTCTGCAGGTGAAGGATCCACTTCCTTTGATAGTTCACCATTTGCCTATAGCAGTAACTTTCGGATTTTTCAGCACTGAGAACACCATGGTATGCAACACTAATGTCAGGGGAGCCTTGTGATGAAATTTGCAGACTTATGTTTGCTGGGCGTCTTATGTTAAGTTCTTACTCGATCAATCGATGCATGTCCTGCAGGTGTTGGATCCAACCCATAGCGAGGAGGCTGTTATGGCAGGACGCATGACAGTAACAGTTAATGCAAGCAGCGGTATTTGTGCCATTCAAAAAGCTGGAGGAGTGGGTGTGCCACAGCGTGAGATTATGCGTTGTTTACGACTTGCTTCCCAGAGGGCCGGCTTGATTACGAAAACGATAAAAGATGCAATAAGTTCATGCTTAAATCTTTGTCATGCCTGATGTTTTCTCTGCAAAACTTCCATGTTTAAGCCATTCTGTAGTGTAATTGAATCACTTTCTGGATGATCAATTAGGTTATTGTTTAATTTTCAACCAACATATTCGTGTTCTCAGTGATTATCATACATCTGCAATTTGTCACTTGAACACCTAGGCTTGTAGCAGCTCCCCATCCAAATTTGCAGTGTCATCCCCCCCCCCCCCCCCCCCCCCCCCTCTTCCATAGGTTAAGGTTTGCAAGCATTCTGCAAGTTCTTACATTCTTGCCATTGTTTAGTGTGCCTGTTTTAAGTATTTGTTTCTTGTAGGTTGAGGTGTTCAACAAGGAAAGGGCTTCGCGCAAGATCAAGCGACATTCTACTTCAGTTGCTGCCACTGTTAGTGTAGAAGATGGTATCACTTCTCTTAGGGAGGACCCTCACAGACAAGGTGTTGGTCCAGATTTCCTGGAAGCTTCTCAAGGTACATTTGCTTACTTCAGATGAACCCTGTGATTGATGGTGGAAGCTTTACTCACTTCTAGTACCCTAGGGGTTCTATTTGTCCACAATAATGTCGAATTTTTCTATGTTTGATTTACGTGCAGAAAAATCGAGCTCCAATGCAGAACAAACTAGTGAAGATAGTAATAGTGATGTAGCAATGCAAGAAAAGCTATCCTCTGAGGGCGTTAAACCTCCTACGTTACTGACAGATTTAGCTGAACCAGAAGAGCAACAAACCAACAGAGTGAAGAAGACTACGAAAGACGCTGTGAAGTCCAAGAAGGCAAGAACAAGAGGAGAAAGAAGACGCGCTCCAACATGAAGGCGGGTAATTGGTATAAATGCTCACACAATTTTGACTATTGTACAAAATCTTCGCACAAATTCATTAACATAGTTTGACGTATATCACAAAGATTGTCATTTATTTATGTGAATCAAAGATAGATAATATTCGGGATTTCATATAAGCATATATTAGGGATGACAAAATATACTTAGATTGTCGGTATGATCAAGTCCAATTTATTGTGGGTCAAATAAGATTTTGATAAATATTATTTTATTTTTTGGGGCAAACTCATATCCAACTTTTTAATTTGAGTCTAAATTAGACTCAACTATCATGTCATGCGCCTATTATTCACAAATGTTTGAACACTACGATAATAGGATGAGAAACTCCATTAGTACGATAAATGGGAGAACATGAGTTTATAAATTCAAACGGGATGTGCTTACCATAATCAGGGCCAAGATCGAGCCACCACGATCCCCAACAACTTAGGAATGTAAAAATATCCACACTTCTGGATATCCGTCCGAATCATATCTAATTGGGTAAGATAAAATCCGTAACCGAAAGATTTTTAGTGGATATGGATAAAACTCGAATTCGAATAGTAAGAGTCAGGGACGGACCTTGGGCATTTAGGGGTGTCCCGGGACACCCTTAGGCCCTGTTTACTTTCATTTCTGTTTCCTGTTTTTGAGAAAACAGATGTTGAAAACAACATTTTGTCGTTTCCGAAAACAGCAGGAAGTTGCCACTTTCTGTTTTCATAGTTGGAAACGAATAGAAAACAGAATGAAAAGTAAACAAGTTTTCTCGTTTCGGTTGCCAAATTTATGACATGAAAACAGAAAACAGGAAACGAAAATGGAAGTGAACAGGGCCTTAAATTTTGGAAGATCGACTATCCAACCTCCGGTGTTATTTACGTATAGACAAAAAAATTATAATTAATAGTCCGGGACACCCTGAAATTTGAAAGAACAATTATACTACTCTCGTTTGTAGTTTGCGTATGAGAATATACGTGGTAGTTTGGGTAATTTAAACCCGGGACACTACTATTACTAATAATTATAATTTCCATTAGACTACATCTTTTTTGTTGTTATATTCTAAACACGGTGTAATAGCAAAACCAAATTCTCTATCTTTAATTATTTTCAAAACCTAACAATTAATCTAATTACAAGCTAACATTAATTTGTATTGATTTTATGGTTGTACGACAAGTTTTGAAAGTGTTCTTTTTAGTTGAGTTACAACATAAACAAATTTAGAAGTCAAATATATGTCAATTCGTGAATAATTATCTAGTAGGATATTTACGCGAACTCCCAGCAAATCGCGCTTTTGCGATCTGGATAGGGATGACAATTTTGACCTGACCCGTTTTACCCGACCTGTTTGGCCTGTTTTGGGGCGGGTCCGACCCGCCCCGTAGGCGGGGCGGGCATGGGTACTCTCATTGACCCAACCTGCCCTGACCCGCCCTATTCTCGACCCGTTCTTGCCTAAATTACATGTATTCTTAGTCAAATTCCTTAGGATTTTTCTTTTATTACATCATAATTTAGCTATAATAAAGTTGTAAATTAGTGAGAACCTCAATTTCTCAAATAATTTAACTACATTTATCATAATATTGTTTGTTTTCTTGGTTTTATAATATAAATAATAATATTTCTAATTTTATTTCATATAAATTTCATACTCATTGAGTCGACCTGCGACCCGTGATAAATTACCCGACCTGAACCCAACCTGCTATGAAGCGGGTCTGGGTTCTAAGAAACCCGCCCCGGACCTGCCCATTGCCTAGATCTGGAGCCGAAACGTGGAAGTCGGAATGGCGAATTAGGTTACGGGAGAGATCCAAGCACAAATTTGATGCAAATCGGCAAATACACCCGGAACTGGCTGGGCTTGTTGTCGCACCGAGCCGGGTACACGCAGAGCCGACAGGCCCATTTTAGCGGTTGTTGTTTGGACCACCCAAACCTGGGCTTCACACTTTTACTTGGCTGATCTGGGAAAAGGAGAATGGAATTTTCCCCACCGCGCTCACAGCAGCACTGAACAGGACTGCTGCACAACCCTAGTAGCCGCTTCCGGTTCGTCGACTATTCTCCCTCCGTTTTCTGTCCACCGACCGGCGGGAACCCTCCGTCAGCTTTTCCGAGTTAGTTCCAGCACATTTATCTCCACTCAACTCGCAACCTTCCCTACATACCCTGCTTTCTGCGCCGGGGCATCAATGGATTCTCGGCTGGCAAATACTTGGCGCCTGACCGTAAATGAGAAGAAGTTTATCGAGACTGCTTTGGCTTCCGACTTGAGAATCGATGGCCGGAAACCCCTTGAGTATCGGAAGCTAACTATCAACTTTGGAAGGCAGGTTTCTGTTCCCATTTTCAGACCCTTTTTTTTTTTTTTTTCTTGTTGGGTACTTTCTGTCATGTTCTCTTGCTGGAAGCTGTGTATGAGATACTGGGTTTAATATGGACGAGAATGAATTTTGCGCTGATTACCAAAAGTGCTGGTCGTGAATTTTCAGGGAAGACGGGTCAGCTGATGTGCAGCTAGGCCATACTCATGTGATGGGTTTCGTGTCTAGTCAACTTGTCCAACCTTACCGTGAGCGTCCAAATGAAGGGACAATGTCGATTTTCACCGAGTTTTCACCAATGGCCGATCCTTCATTCGAGTTAGGCCGTCCAGGAGAGTCTGCAATAGAGTTGGGCCGCATAATTGATCGTGGCTTAAGGTACATGTTTTCTTTTTTGAGTTCGTCCAAGTTGACACATTAGGAAGATTATGCTTGTAGGATAGTATGCATATTCAGTTGTCCCTATGATCTAATGTATATCCATTTCCAGATGCAAACAACCAACTAGTATTTCTCTCCCCCAGTGTACATACTGGTGATGTTAATTTTATGGCTGAAACAAATTTTGGATTGTTAGAAGGAAGTATGGATTATCACCGGAGCTAGTATTGTTCATGAGAGGTAGACCTGTGGACCTGTGTAGTTGGGTCTTTGTGACAACAATTACAGTGGATAACTGAAATTATTCATGCAGGGAAAGTAGGGCTGTGGATATGGAATCACTTTGTGTTTTGGCTGGGAAGTTAGTTTGGGCCATCAGGATTGATCTCCACATCCTAGATAATGGAGGGTGAGCTCTCTATCTTCTCTTTCTGGTCTTGTTTCTTTGGTTTCTAGACATTGCTTATGGTCTTAGTTATGAAAACCTCTCGGTCTAGTTACTTATATGGTCTGGTAACAGAAATCTTGTTGACGCTGCCAATGTGGCTGCTTTAGCTGCCCTGTTGACCTTTCGGAGACCAGAGTGCTCATTAGGTGGAGAAAATGGACAAGAAGTGGTTGTACATCCACCTGAGGTTAGAACATTAACTTTTTTTTATCTCTTAGCTAAACTAAATATGTGCTTACTTATCTTCGCAATTTCTTGTACCGAACAGTATGCTTTTGCCTGTTGCAATCAGTGGAACCTTCATATTTCAAACTGTTGCAACTAGTTTGGATGTCAGGAGATAATTATCTAAACCATCTAGAGTTTAATGAGTGAATGTAAGGTTTTGACTGAAGGAACAGACAAGACACCCAGGAGAAATTCCATGGATCAAGATATGGTTCCAATGTGAAAAAGATGGCAATAGCTTGCATTGAACTATCATAAAAGAATTAGTAGCACTGTGGTTCATACTCCAAGGACTCGTACTGAGCATCCAATTCTCTGGTTTATTGCCACTTGAAAGAGTTCACGTGATCACTACTAGAAGAGACTCATGGTTAATATAGCTAAATTTATATTTTGTTTATTCTTTAGTGAATATAATAATTTTTTTCTTTCAAAATGGAGATAATAATTTCTGCAGTGAAAGTTGTACTTTGTAGGGACAGGAACTCTGAATATTGTTCATGAGTACTAGAAAAAAGAACGATGCTATAATTGTAATAAAAGATTCTACATTACTTAATTTATAATTAATTTGCTGGATCAACTCTTCCTGTTAAGCTGATTTGAAGTTTTGTAAATATGTGAAATAGACCCTTCATCAGTGACTCTGATCAGGAGCTCGATGTGGTCAATTCATTTTCTTCATATTTGAATGCCTGTAAATCTTCTAGACTGCAAGTTTGTGTCTGTTTCGGCTATCTTCCCATCCCTACTAATTAGTACCTTTAAGCTTCAGGGCATTTTGAGTGGTCCGTTGATTGTTGTTCTTGCATTCTGCAGGCGAAGGATCCACTTCCTTTGATAGTTCACCATTTGCCTATAGCAGTGACCTTTGGATTTTTCAGCACAGAGTACACCATGGTATGCTACTTAATGTCCGGAGGTCCTTTTGATAAAATTGCAGCCGTATGGTGCCTCGAGCATGATGTTAATCTTTTGTGCAATCATTTCATGCATTACCTATCATTCAGGTGGTAGATCCAACCCATAGCGAGGAGGCTGTTATGGGGGGCCGTATGACAGTAACAGTTAATGCAAGTGGCGATATTTGTGCCATTCAAAAAGCTGGAGGAGTAGGTGTGCCACAGAGTGAGATTATGCGATGTTTACGACTTGCTTCTGACAAAGCTGAATCTATTACCAAAAACATAAAAGACGCGGTAAGTTTTTTGTTTTCAGTTACTATTATCATATCTTCTGAATTTATCTTGAAAACTGTCTTGTAAACTGATTTGGGGCATAATTTTCCTATTGGACAGCACTGATTGGAAATAGTTAGACTTTTCAGACACTCTTTGTAATTTCATGAAAAATTGGTCGCCGAGTTTTTTTGTCAGCCTTGCAAAATCAAAGAATTTGCTTAACTTTAATTGGAAAAGTTATGCTACCTCATGACCATTGGAAAAAGATTTTTTTTCATTGTAAAAGTTTATCACGTGAGTTGATATCATTATAATGGTTAAGCAGTCAAATTGATGCGATGAATAAATTTGTGCTTTAATGTTTATCATGTCTAGTGTTCTCTTTGCCAAAATTCAAAATCTTGGGCGTTCTCTATCAACGTTTGGTATTTGAATCACTTTCTTCTAGATAATCAATTAGGCTATAGTTAGATTTTCAACTCTCAGTTCTTGTACTCGGTGGTTATCATACAGATGGAATTTGTACCAGGTGTTTTCATAGGTTAGAATGAGCATTCAGCAAGATCTAACATTCTTGGCATGTATAGATGACATGGTTTTAGTGCGCCTGTTTTAAAAAAATTATTTTGGTAGGTTGAAGCGTTCAACACGGAGAGAATGTTACGCAAGATCAAGCGACATTCTACTGCCGTAGCTGCCAATGTTAGTATAGAAAATGATGTCAAAGGGCAAAAAGACAAACTCGCTGGGCAGAGAGTAAATGAGTCATCAATGTCCCAGATGGAGAGATTGAAGCTAAAACCTGACGAAAGTTCCATATCCCAAAATGATGGTTTAGGCAGCGAGACCAGATCATCGGATCAAATCAGTAGTCAGCGTGCCGAGGGAAATGCTCCTCTTTTTCTTGGAGGGCCCTCAAGCTGGTAAGTTTCACCATCTGGAAATTCCATCTGAACTTGTTCTGCTGTACTACAAACCCTTAATGGGTGAACTTGGAACGAACCGATTCCTCGATCCTGCTTCCTGATGCTTCTTTTATGCTTTTTGGCACACTTAAGTAGCTCTATATATTTGAAATTATCTGCAATCTCCACTCTAGTCGTGCTACTGATGTCTACTGGCACTTCCTTTGTGTTAGATAACAGATGAAGCATACTTTAATTCAGCACTTCATTTTCTTTCTTCATAAAGCCATTGAAAACAACTGCTTAATATATACCATAAACTTCCCCTTGTGGTTTTGCAAAATAGAAACTGCTGTTTAGGTTCTCGACTTGCTGTTCAAGCCTGTCTGAGATAGAGTACTTTTTGTTGAATAACCAAGTCATTTTTCCATTCTAGTATATTATTACCAAATTGTCTCACTAACTCCAAAACGGTATCTCGTCTCTTAGGGACCCTCACACACACGGTGTTGATCCAGATTTCCTAAAAGCTTCTCTTGCTGCACAAGGTACATTGCTTGTTTACTTTTAAATCTTGGATGAATGCTCTGATTGATGGCGGGAGCTTCACTCTCTTCTAGTACCCCTGGGGTTCTAGATGTCCACCATATTGTCATAATTTTGAAGTGAATAGTTGCCATTCCTGGAGATTTATACGGGTTTCTGCGTAAACTGCAAGTTAGGATATCCCGTGTTTGATTTACGTGCAGGAAAATCGAACCCCAAGGCGGAACAAAGTAGCGAAGACAGTGACGATGATGTAGCAATGCAAGAAAAAGACGCCTCTGAAGACGTCAAACCTCCGAGCTTAGCAACAGATTCATCCGAAACAGTAGAAGAACAAAAAACCAGCATAGTGAAGAAGACTCTCAAGGACGCAGTGAAGCCAAAGAACAGGAGAAGAAAGAAGACGCGCTCTTAACTTAAACGCCAGCTAAGATTCATTCTGACAAACACGTTGTTTTACTTTTTATCTGTATCCCCCCTTTTTTCTGGAATAGTTTTAGCTGTGTTTGCGGTGCTTGTTTTGATACAATTACGTGGAATTAGGGCCAACGACGCCATAAAACCATGTTGTTGTTCTTCCAAAACTGCCTCAGATAAACGGCGTCGTCCCTGGCGACCCAGTACGTGTTGTCCATGTGAATCCTCTCCCAGGGGTCCTTCTCCTCCTCGTTATACGCATCGAAAACGACCTCGACGTTGCCCTTCGCCACGTGGCACCAGAAGAGCGTGATCCCGAAGATGTTGGGCCTGAACCGCCACTGGTACTCGGACCCGGGCGGGACGACGTGGACCCCCATGTCGTTGTTCTTGGACTTGCAGTGGACCGTCACGGCCCGCCCGCCGCTCAGCTCGTTCACGATGTGGATGTGCCTGTAGGCCCACCACGAGCCCTTCTTCGAGTCCGCCAGCCCGCCTGCAGGAGCGCCGGTGTCGGTCGGGGCGTCTTGTTTTTCCGGTGGCGACGTGGCCGGGACCACCGTGTCCTGTACGTCATCCGGCGGAGCAGTGACGTCGGCTGATGCATGTGGAGCGAAGATGGCCAGGCAGATGATCGCAACCGCCATGGGAGAAGCTTTTGTGATCCACATTTTGATGATATGGGCTGATTATCTCTCTAGTTACTCTTTTTTTTTTTTATGTGTTTGAATGTTTTACATACTAGAATCAACACCCACGGCTACGCCGCGGGGACTTAATTTGCAACCATATCATCTTCTTAGCAATAGATATGTCAATCAATGGTGTGTCGGTGACTTGAAATGGCAGGAGCAAACATCACACTGAAAACATTACCAAGAAAATACTCAATAGTCTGCCTCAACTACTAAAAAGAAGAGCTTGCACATCAGTTTTTGAATGGAGAACTTAAGATCTGCAGCATCTGAAAAGAAAAAGATATATCTGATTGACAACAAAGGGAAAACATTCTAAATTGCCCATGAAATGTATAGATGTTTGTGTTTATTAACTAAAATGACATTAGTTTTTCAACAATACAATGAAGTAGCAGCAATTTGACGCTCAACTATCCATTTAGCAGTAACAACATCAACAATAAAACCGAAACGCTTTACTTCAACAACATCGTCACCAAGTGCAGCTTTAGAGGACACAACCGATAGAGCTTCCATTGAATCCACCTTCCACTTGAAAGCTACTTGGGCCAGAATTCGAACACGTGCACTTGGATGGTCAAATAACAAACAACATCAGGGCCAACTTCAGATGTATTAGCAACATATGTAGCCGAGGAAAATTATGGTGGGGATGGAAGGGAAAATAACAATGAGAAACAGCATGGTGGTGGTAGGTTCGCTAGGGCAAGCAAATAAAACATACAAAATGATGGACGATAAGAACCTGGTCTGTGAGAATAGCTAAAGTGGATATTTGACAGGATAAGGAGATGCACAACAACATTACCATCCAAGTGCCAACCCATATATAATCTGACTTCCGAATCCTTTGAACAAACAATTCTCAGAAGGAAACAAAGGGATATAAATGAGAAAGTACATACGAAACTTAGAGTAAACCAAATTAACGCGCAATCAAAGTTCATCCGTCTGAGGTCAAAACTCAAGACTAACTCTACAGAATGTTTGGATCTCATGCACTCGGACACCATAAGTTGTAAAGAAACAGCCTGGGAAGTCCAATATCCCCTACGCTATCATCTTTAAAAGTTAAAACAGCAAGAAAGCCCAGCACTGGGCAATGCATGTATTCTCTTAAGACATTTAAATTAGAATCCATAATAGAATCACAATACCATCATCCAAACAAATCCTCAACAGAAGGACAAAAAACTAATAGATACTGGTGTAGTCAAATTTCATTCATTCATACTCTTAAAAGTTATGGCTGACTACTCTGCTTCCAGTTCAGCTGGCACAGTTCTGATTGGCCGACATCCATGCCCATGTCAAGAGTAAAGGTTTCCACATCAAAGATGGGATTCAAAAGAGGTAAACATGAGCAGGAACTGACCTTGGTATGGAAACTGGATTCGTATGAACTGAAGTTTGAGGCCGAGCTGGTTTTGTTGATAAAGCCAAAGGAGATGCAACATTCTTGCTCTTTCTACATAGGCAATGAAAGCATAAGCACTTTTTTAGTAGTGGTAATAGTAGAGTTCTTGATTTGTACTCTCATGGCATTTAAACAAATACATTGCTCCTATTCTAATAACCTGATTTGAGGTTAATTTTCTCTTGCTTGAAGAAAATGAGATTGCTCCTGTGCCTTAGGGCCTTCCTCCTTATGGTTCCCTCCTTCTTTTCATGCCTTTACCTGTAAAGTAGCATTAGAATTAGTTTAAGTTTATAAGAAAACACGATTTTGGAAGTGGTATTAGTAGGGTTCTTGATATGTACTGTAATGGCATCTAAACAAATACATTGCTCTCTCCTGATTTGAGGATTTCTCTTTCTTGAAGAAAATGAGATTGAGTAAGGGGTTCCGCCTTATGCTTCCCTTCTTATTTTCATGCCTTCGCCTGTAAAGTACCATATGCAAAATCAGTTTAAGTTTCCAAGATCAAACCATCTGGTTGTATATAAAGAATATCAACAATAATATTGGAGTAACTAATACTTAGCAATTTGATAATCCTGTCTTCTAGAAGGTACAAAAGCAGCACATCAAATGATCAGTGTACAAAGCAAATAAGAAATTTCAGAAGCTCAATTGTATCAATTTTTGCAGGTTCTCTTCACGACAACTATGCCTAAATCAAACAGGGCTCAAGTGTGCTGGATTGGAGCTCCAATAACTGATTCGCTGCTGTATTTGTCTATGCCAAGAGCTTACCGAGCGAGTGATTTGGTATGATGATTTACAGGTTCCATATCAAGTGCAAAACACAGACAATGAGGACCTTATAATCAATTAGTGGAAAACCTAAGAATGGCAGTGAAACAAAAAGGGATCAATCATTGCTGTAAGGAATGGGGAACTTATAATCAATTAGTGGAAATCTCAATTAACAGTAATGGGGTTGAAATTAAAAAAAGAAATAGATTACTTCTAGGCTCTAACAAAGTGAAATGAATAATGAACCAAACATCATCACCAAACAACATAAAGAAATAGAGAGACAACTGAAGAAGGATGTATCACATGCTAAGTAAACCATGAAAGACCAAGTGCTAAACAACTCAAGACTTTCCGCACCTTAGACAGTTTTCCATTGTTACAAACTACAAAAATATATCAGAGCGAGATTATCTGAAAGTAACACCACGACAGCCACTGTAAGAATTGACTTGACACTGCATTTTCCTGCTCTTGAGTTGCCATTCCCTAAATTATTGTGCCTCCTAGCCTTTGTGAAACCCCAAACGCAGAAGCACCTGAAGATTGAAGGATAATCAAAGAAAACTAACCAATGGCCTAGCCGGAAGCAGAGTCTGCAGTTGAGGCAGTACTTCCATGTTTGCAGGGTGGTGCTGGATTCGAAGGGCTAAGAGAACAAAACGGAACCCAGTTGACCTATCTGAAGTTGGTCCTCCCCGGAGCCAATGGTGGATTCTCACTCTCGCTGTTGCTAGGATTTATGCTCCGGCGATTGGAGTCGGAAGAGAGGAGGGATAAATAAAGTTTTTTATATGAATGAGAGGAAGGCTGGATGATTGGAATGGATGGTGGTGGGAGAAAATGCACATGGCGTAGAGAGGTGGACAGATGATTTTGGATGGATGGAAATCGGGAGGGATGTGACTGTTAAGGGTAGAGTGTGGGAGATGGATTTGTCAGGGGAGGAACTCAGCCGAAAGAGGCAAGACGAAGGGGTTTTTTCTTATGACACAGAGGGAATTTTGCGTGTGGAAGCAGCCCGGAATCGTGCGGAGGTGGATTTCTGGGAAGTGATAGTCAGAGGGTACGGAAGCATGGGAGTCTGAAAGGGGAAGGGCTGGGCGTCTCGAACGGGGTGGATACAATCATCGAAGTTGGGAAGTTCTTTCCGGCCTCATCAGAAGACGACAAATATTGAAACAGTAATAGAGAAGTTTGGGCAATAAAGTGTACCCACATTTCATATATAAAAGAATGTAGAAGTTGAAATTGGTGAAGTATTTATAGTTGAGCTTGAAATGCATGTTTACTGAAAATAGTAGAGTGATTTCAGCTTCACCGCACAGGATTAAGAAAGCTATGGCTCGTAATAGCATTTGTTGGAATGCCGGTTGAAACACCAGTAATCACGTAACAGCTATATGAACACTAAATGAAAGAAAGAAACAGACTCCTTATAAACTAGCAAGAAAAATTCAGTGGCTAATTTGAGCTCCAGGCTAGGGTTAATGGGTCACAAATAACCCAATCCAATCAACTTAATTTGTATCCGTTTTGCCCGTTGGGTCTAGTTTATGGGGTTTCTTTATTTGTTTTCATAGTGAGGGGTTGATTTTCTGCTCCATCTTTGTCGAACTTTGGAATCCGTGATCTAGATGCGATGCTAGGAAAACACCAATGGCGACTCTGTTTTTCGTAGCTTAAAGTTTTAGCGGAATTTTGAATCCTTTGCAACGACTCCTTCCATCGCAAAGATGTTGTTTCTTGTAGTGTCTGTAGCCTTCAAAATCTAATAAAAATATCATTTTAAAAAAATTGGCCGAAATCATTGGTAGTATCACTTTGGAATCTACCAAAAATGACCAGGAAAAAATCCGCCCAAATCGGTGCTCAATAGACTTAATAATCGGTGAAAAATAGCCTCAAGCCGAATTCATGATCTGTAGCCTTCAAAATCCAAGGAAAATGGCCTTCGCAAAACAAGTTTGAAATCAGTGATTGTACCCCTTTGAAATCGGGCAAATATTGACCAGGAAAAATCAGCCCAAATCGGTGCTTAATAAGCTTAATCATCAGTGAAAAATAGCATATGACCGAATCTGTTATCTGTAGCCCTTCAAAATCCAAAGAAAATGGCCTACCGAAAAAATTACCCAAAAAATATGTAAACATCCCTCTATAAAAATTCGCACAAATCGTCGATTAATAGACTTCATCATCGGTGGAGAATAGCCTCAGACAGAATCCGTGATCTGTAACCTTCAAAATCCAAGTAAAATGTCCTTCCAAAAAAATCTTTTGAAATCTGTGATGGTACCCCTTTGGAATCGGCAAAAAATGAATGTGGGAAAAATCTGCCCAAATCGGTTCTTAATAAACTAAATCATCAGTGAAAAATAGCACGTGGCCAAATTCGTCATTTGTAGCCTTCAAAATCAAAAGAAAATGGCCTATCGAAAAATTTACCCAAAAATTATGAAAATACCCTATGGAAAAATCCGCACAGTATAGACTCAATCTTCAATAGGGAATAGGCTCAAGCAGAATCCGTGATCTGTAGTCTTCAAAATCCAAGTAAAATGTCCTTTCGAAAAAATCGTCCAAAAACTTTGATGGTACTGTTGGGCCAAGTATTGGAATACGTGTTCCCCCGACATCAAAAGAAGACAGCACATAGGCTAGAAGCATCGTACACGGTCTTGGGACACACTAGAAGACCGCCCAACATGGTATCTAGTCAGACAGCGGTAGACCGTCCGACAAAACGGTCTAACAGACACCTAGTCATCTCAGTACGGAGACTAACAACGGTACATACCGCCTGTGCATTTCATGAAGTTCAGAGGCGTCCAAAGACGCCCGACACATCATTAAATGCGCTAGCCGTAGCCAAAGTGAGTATAAATACCCCCAGATATGCAACATTTATGGTAACTTCCAACCACCACTCTTTCTTTCTCTCTTATTGACAACGTTACCACTTTCTATTACTAACTTTGGCATCGGAGAAGTTCACAAGATCCCCCTGAGGACCTTTCTTGCAGGGATCACATGACCGCCCCCCACGATCGTAGATCGTGCGGAGCTCGTGACCCTCGCAAACCGTTTGATACTAATCAGGCACAAACAGGTACCCCTTTGGAATCGGCCAAAAATGAACGAAGGATAAATCTGCCCAAATCGGTGCTTAATAAACTTAATCATCAGTGAAAATAGCCTATGGTCGAATCTGTCATCTGTAGCATTCAAAATCCAAAAAATGGCTTATCAAAAAAATCACCCAAAAATTACGAAAATGCCCTGTGAAAAAATCCGCACAGACCGGCGATTAATAGACTTCATCATCGATCGAGAATATCCTCAGGCAGAATCCGTGATCTGTAGCCTTTAAAATCCAAGTAAAATGTCTTTTCGAAAAAATCGTCTGAAATTTGTGATGGCCCCCTTTGAAATCGGCCAAAAATGGACTCGGGAGAAATCTGTCCAAATTAGTGTTCAATATACTTAATCATCGATGAAGAATAGCCTATGGCCAAATCTGTCTGTAGCCTTCAATATCCAAAGAAAATGGTATATCAAAAAAATTGCCCGAAAAATTACAGAAATGCCCTCTGAAAAAATCCGCACAAATCGGCGATTAATAGACTTTATCATCGGCGGAGAATAGTCTCAGGGAGAATCCGTGATCTGTAGCCTTCAAAATCCAAGTAAAATGTCCTTTCGAAAAAATTGCTCGAAAACTGTGATGGTACCCCTTTGTAATCTTCCAAAAAATAGACTCGGAAAAAATATGCCCAAATCGGTGCTCAATAGACTTAATTATTGACGAAAAATAATCTTAGCCCAACTTCGTAATCTGCAGCCTTTCCAAATTCAATTAAAATGACCTCTCTAAAAAATCACTCGGAATTCCCATTTTCTCGAATTGTTTGTTTTGAAATAAATTATGTAGACCAATTTGCCATGGACAAGGAAGAAGAAGAAGAAAAAAAAAAAAAAATCTTTCCTTGGCAGCATTATCAAAATTGAATGCCTAAATCGTGCTCGGTCTCTAACCTATGACACAGGTTTAGCAGAGCGTACATGCATGTCGAAAACAAGCCGATTTGATGTACTACGTAAAATATTCCACGAAACAAAAATAGTAGTCTATATAATATGCTATACGGAATAATCAGGGCCATTTACGCCAGAAAACCATGTTGTTGTTCTTCCAGAACTGGCGGAGATAAACGGCGTCGTCCCTGGCGACCCAGTACGTGTTGTCCATGTGAATCCTCTCCCAGGGGTCCTTATCCTCCTCGTTAAACGCATCGAACACGACCTCCACATTCCCCTTCGCCACGTGGCACCAGAAGATCGTGTTGCCGAAGATGTTGGGCCGGAACCGCCACTGGTACTCGGACCCGGGCGGGACGACGTGGACCCCCATGTCGTTGTTCTTGGACTTGCAGTGGACCGTCACGGCCCGCCCGCCGCTCAGCTCGTTCACGACGTGGACGTGCATGTAGGCCCACCACGAGCCCTTCTTCGAGTCCACCAGCCCGCCCACGCCCGTCCCGGGCTTCGGGGCGCGATCGTCGGTCTCGGCGTCTTGTTTTACCGGCGGCGACGTGGCGGGCACCACGCTGTCCTGTACGTCCTCCGGCGCCGGTGGACTGGCGGCGGCCGCGTCGGCGGCTGCTGATGCAGGTGGAGCGACGACGGCCAGCCAGAAGATTGCAATTATTACCGCTATGGGAGGAGCTTTTGTGATCCACATTTTGATATGGGGCTTATTAATTATGTCCTCTCTAGTTAATTAATTACTCTTTTGATGTGTTTGAATGGTTTACATGAATAAGTTGAAATTGGTCAAGTATTTATGGTGGAACTTGAAATGCTTGTTTACTGAAAATAGTAGAGTGATTTCAGCTTCACCACACACGAGTAAGAGAACTATGGCTCGATCTCTTCTGATGCCAAGCTCTCGATCGAACTACCTTTTTTTAGGTTTGTAGCATTTGTTGGATGCCGGCAAAACCCCTTATTAACCTCCGGTTGGACCCGGTCTGAGCCGATCGAGTAGGGATTCAAAAAGGTCTCCAGAAAGTCTCGGTCTAACTCCTTAAAGAGGTTGAAGAAGAGAGGGCGAAGAGAGGAAGAGGAACGAAGGAAGGGAGATGGTGGGTGGGTGGGTGGGTCATTGAGGTTAGGTAGATATATTTTGTGGAAAATAAGTTTTTAATAGATATATGTAAGATAAATTTTATTTCAGTCATTAAATCTTTAATTACTACCTTATTTGTATATATATATTTAGAAAACGTCTAAAACGGATCAAATCGACAGAACCCCGATCAGACCATTAAATCTCAAACCCCCTTGCTTGACCGGCTCAATAACTTAAACTAGTTTGACAACCTTAGATATCGGTTGAAACCAACAATCACGTAACCGATGTAAGAACAGTAACAGAAAGAATAGTGTCTTAATCTTATTATTGACTAATTGAGCTCAGAGTTAATGGGTCATACATAACCAATCCAAATCTTTGTGAGGGGTTTCATCTTTGTCTGCGGTGACCTTAATCTTATTATTTATGGTTAATATTTTTCGTATGGCCTGAATTTTGATCAAAATAAACATCCTGGTCAATCTTTTCGATCTATAACATCCTGGCCCGAACTATACACAAAAATAAACAATTTGGCCAAACTCGATGTTTGACCGTTAACTTGGATGGTCAAACGCGTTCACTAACGGTCAACGCGCCATGTCACTGCCACGTCACTGTCAAGTTAGAAGATCTGATAAATATTTAATTTTGTTCGTTTTTTATTTTTGGTTTAACTAAGGTATTAGATGATTTTTTTAATTTATAATAATTTAAAATTAGGGAATGTGTGGAAATTGTGAATTATTTTAAATATTTTATGCTGACTTGGCAGTGACATGGCGCGTTGACTAACGATCAACGCGTTTGACCGTCCAAGCTAACGGTCAAAAGTCGGATCTGGCTAAATTGTTTATTTTGGTGTATAGTTCGGGCCAGGATATTATAAATCGAAAAGATTGGCCAGGATGTTTATTTTAGTCAAAGTTCAGGCCATACGAAAATATTAACCCTATTATTTATCATAGTGCTCATTGGTCAATATATGGATTACCCAGACTTAGAGGTTGCTGAATGAAACCCTAAATATTAGTAGTGTAATTTGTGCGGTGCTAGAATATTGGCCAGATCCCTAGAGGAGGAAGCTAGCTCCGTCGAGTGACAATCTTGCATGCGTTTGCCCGAATTCTTCATCAAATCGGCTATAGTCTTTCCCCGTGTTAGAGTGTGGTATAAGATTCAGTATAACCTTCTCCTAACAACTCGAGTTATTGGAACTAATTGGTTTATGACATGGTATCAGAGCTGGTTTGACCAAGTGGTCGTGTGTTCGAATCTCCACGACCCCCAATATTAACAGTTGATTAAAGCACAAGGTATGGTGGGCCTGTGCAAACTTCAAACCCGTGAATTGGCTTTCATTTGAGGGGACGTGTTAGAGTGTGGTATAAGATCCAGTATAACAAAATTCAGAGTTCATCTTTTCTTCTTCTTTTCCTTATTCCGAGCTTTGGTTGCTCACAGAATAAGACACAATTGCTTGAAGGTCGGGGTTACCACTCATCGGATGATATGTCTGATGAAGATCCATTTATTGGTGGGATGAGCGCTAGTGATACATAGAATTGGGGCATAATTTTTTTTTTTACAAAAGATAGATATATATTGAATCAAAACCAAATAAAGTTACACCCTGGAATTCAGCCAGGTCTGATAATCAAAGACAGGACTCATAGCCGGGGACAAAGAAATGGCCTTTCTAGCCACCAAATGGGCTACCCTATTGTTACACCGACCTACAAATCTAACAACAAACTCGGACTGGGGCCTAAAGTACTTCATAACTTTCGCAAGAACCGCCCCTGCCTGGGTGTCTCTTGTATCTCCCTGGTTGATTTTATCAATGATCACCTTGGCATCATCTTCAAAAACGACATTTGTAAATCCAAGCTCCAGACACCAAAGAATCGCCGATCGAAGCACGAGTATTTCCACCACCATGGGATTATCAATTACCGGAACATGGACCCCTTTAACCAAAAGGACCTCGCGATAGGGGGTCAAGATAACAATCCCACCAGCCGAATGAGAACCACTATTAGTAGCGCCATCCCACATACACACAATCCTATCAGCCTCCACCGGAGCCATAATTGGGGCATCAAATTTGGAAAATGGAGTATATGCGAATAATTAATGATCGAACTTTCGTTCTTTCTTGGTGTTTGACGACATGTAAGTCCTCCTCCTATTATGACGATTTGAAATATAATTGGGTTTAGTGTAGGGTGCATAACAAGATGTCGTTCATTGATTTTAACTGGAGTCAACTTTAAGGGTCGAGATTAAAAGTTTTCGAATTTTCCCTACTTTTTCACCAACTTGTATTTTCTTTATTTTAAACCGATTTTTCCCCACCACAAATGGAACAGGTTCATTGTGACTGCAAGATTAAATGAATATTATTATTTGGGTTAGTGAATTGCGGACTGGGGTTCACCCATTAGGGGTTAGGGTATAGTATCGTGCCCCAAACTCCGGTTAATTTATTGTCTAAATAGCAAAACTCAACGGGCGTACGGTAGGCTAGGGTACGTCCGGGCGTACGCTAGCCTTTGCCATATATATATATATATATATATATATATATATGGTGGCGTATTCAGTGCACCCACTTTTTTGGGTGCACTCATTGCACCCGCCTCATAATTGTCATTCTGAGCATGTGATTCATGTCAAAACGGTATCAATTGTTGCTTATGATATTGTGAACAAGAAGCACATGAATTTGAAAAAAATTCATTCAAAATTTACTTTAATTTGAAGGATTTAGGATTTAGGGATTTAGGGTTAGGGATTAGGTTTAAATTTTGAGATTTTGGATTGGGATTCAAAATTGAAGGTTAAGGGGTTAGGGTAATAGATTGATTTGTTATGATTCTATGTCATATCATCATATTAGATTGAGAATACTAATTAAAGTTCAAAATTTGATGTAATATGGACACTTTTAGAGTGGGTGCACAGTGAGTGCGCCGAAGTAGCCACTTATACCACCATTCTATCCTATGATATAGTTATACCATGATGGTACACTTCAATACCATCATGATATAATCTTATATATGATTTACAAAGTATTACCACAATAGTATATATAGGCTGGCGGACGGTTTTCCGGTTAGCGGTTAACCAGTCGGTTTCAACTGAACCGACCGGTTTTCAGCTAGCCGAAAAACCGATTCCGAAGAGGGCGGTCGGTTGGCGGTGGAAAATATCAGGGGGGCGGTTAGCCGACGAACCGGGGTCGGAAACCGGCGGTTAACCGGCTAACCGACCCCTGCCCTTTCCCCTTAAACGACGCCGCCCCAGGCCCAAATAACCCTAACACTCGCAGCCTCCCCCCATCAGTCGACACTTTCCTCTGGATCCCCAATTCCCCATTAGTAATCAAGAATCAATATTCCTCTACTTATCTTTCCGCCACCACACCTCGCCGCGCCACCGCCTCCCTCTCATCTCCAACCGCCACTTTCTCACCGACCACACGTCGCCGTCCAACGCCACCACCCCCGACGGCTACCTCAAGCCCTGGCCCATCCTCCATTCTCACCTCCCTTGGACTCGCAAACCCAAGGACTGCGCATGCAAGGCTTACTTCGGCAACGGCTTCACCCGCCGCGTCGATGTCCTCCCGCCTTCTCCCGATCGCTCCTCCGATCGAGGTGAAGAAGTCGCCTCGACGACCTTCTCCTCCCCGGCGCCGCGCCGCGCCTCGCCGCCCGTCGCCGCCCCTGCAGATCTCCTTCCATGGAGAAAGAAGGTGAGAGAAGAAGAAGGAAGGAGAGAGAATAGGTCTGGTGAAGGAGAGAGGAGGAGATAAGGATAAGAAAGGAGTGGTGGAGATTTTTCTATTTTATTTAATTATTTTTTTTTGTGGAAAATGTATTTTTTTTCGGTTGGCCGGCTAACCGAGCCTAAAATCGGAATCGATCGGTCGGTTGGTCGGCTAACCGTGACCTCTCTTCGGTCGGTGGTCGGCGGCTATAGAGGGTGGCTCAGTTTAACCGATAACCGGGTTTTCGGTTAAACCGAAACCGACCGACTGCCACCCCTAAGTATATATAGACCGGTAATATATGCCAAATTTTTTTTTGTTTCAAAATTTCTCAAACTAGATGTCATATTTTCAAGAGAACAATTGAGCTGATATCTCCATAAAAAAAAAGAGTTTTCGACTCGGCTCGCCATAATTGCAGAGAAATCTAGAAGTTTATCCTGGTGGTATAGGTTTAGGGAATCCTAGTGCTGCAAGAATTCCGCATCACTACCGGATTAAAACCCACAATTTTGATTAGGAGTCTTTATCCTAATATAGACCTAACAATCCTGGTTACACTTGGTGTCATCAATTATCCTAATTTTTTTAACGTTATAAAACTCGCCCATTGGTCCCTAGATTACCATCACAATGAATTATTTAACCGAATCTGGGAGAATCTCAAACCGACTCCTAAATCCTGCTTTTTCAAATTTTAAGCGTAATATACAATGGACTGCCTTCCTTTTTATCTTCTTAATAATAATTAACAGGCCTTCAAAAGAGGAAGAAACGAAACACATTAAAATTCCTTCGCCAGGACTCCCTAGCTTTCAATAGTCCCGCCGTAAGCAGGAGGAAAATCCCAGTCGTCGTTATAAACTAAACGACAGAGGACGAAGGAGAAGAAGACAAGAAGCAAAGAAAATAGCGCTAGCAATGGCGGCGGAAGATCTTCATCGTAATCCCGGCTGGCCTCTAATATTTGAACTGGTGAGGACGGTGGAGTACCGCTTCTTTCATTGCCGCCGGTGCTCCTGCTGCGTCGCCTTCCCCGATACTTTCTTCGAAAAGGTGCCTCTCCCTCTCCGTCGTCTATGTTATAGCTGCAATTAAATTAGGTTGATTATGCTGATTGATTGACGATGCGTAAGTCTTCCATAATGAATTTCGCGTGCAGGCTAACAATCTGTTAATGAGTTCATGATGCATGTGTGATTGGGTAATTTTTGGCATTAGATTAGGGTTAGTGAATAGTACTGATCAGTGATCATCATGAGACAGCTAATTTAATTAAGGGCTTAATCTTGATTGTGTGTGTAAATACTATAATGATTTTTCTTTGTTACGCTAGCTCTTGCAGTTGGTCTTGATTAATTAATTAGGTGGAAAATCGGTGAACTCCATATAGACAGTGACACATAATTTCTGGGTGACATAGAGTCGAAAGCAATTTCTCGCACCGCGAATTGAGTTGCTCATCAATCCTGATGACAGATTTTTTTCTCGTTTTGCAGGCCGAGAACTACGGTTTATTTGTTGCCGTGTAAGAGAATCATCCTTTTTCCTTTATCCAAACTGCTCTCCCGCAGTTGGAGTTAAAGTAGTGTCACCAACTACTATAATTTTCAAATTTTATTTCGTATTATGCATGTATGGATGCAGGTTCAATTTCAAGCTGGATAAGCAGAAGGAGGAGAACAGAGGGAACGTGTGCATCACAACAGCGGACGTGCATTGTCTTCAATGCAATAATCTCTTCGGCGTCAAAGTGGTAAACCAACAATCTATTCTCAACTCAACTCATTTGTTCGATTTGGTTCATAAACGAATACTAATTATAGTTTCTTTATCTTTTTTTTTTACATGCAGATCAATGTGACGGTATCAGACAAAACCAAAGATTCACGAGAATTCTTTTGGCTCACCATGTATGTATATATGCTCTCTCAATGTTGTTCACCTTCAATAACCTCCTAAATCTAAAGAAGCTACATAGTATCATCGTTACAAGGAAAATTCTAGAGCAACCTCCAGTAAATTTGGCCTTTGTTATACTTCTAGTGAGATAGCGTTATGAATATACCAATGTTAGTGAAAAACAATATAATGATGTGGACGTTAATTGATTCAGGACTGAGTTGATGTATTGGAATGGGCATGAAGAAGTGGAGGCAAGCTCGATAGAACCACCCAATCGATCAAGACGAGAGATTGAAGAACAAATCGAGCGCATTTATCGACAGAAAAATTTGCCCATTTGATAAACAAACATTGTTACACAATTACAAGAACACTAGCTACTCTCCTCCATCCGATTTACAATTTTTTTTACTTCCCGTGCCGCCACGGTTTTTCGAATGGCGAGCGACGAAGCATAGATGAATGTTAGAGTTAACAACATTTTAGATAGGAGATTAACTTTTTCACATAGTTGTTCTCTAATGTAGACATGAATATTATAGCAGCACATTGTTATTGTCACATGCCTAAATAACGTATTTGTGTGAGTCTCGACAATATTAATTACCGCCTAACGATTTGGTTACGATGTATCCGATTCTTCGATAAAAGCTTTATATATAGCAGCCGAAATTTATACAAATAAGTATATATTCTATAAAGTTATGGTGCTTAATTATTAACAGAATGTATCACCCAAACCATCCTTTCATGAAATTTCATTCTGATAAGGCATCAAGACAAACCCTAGAGAGAACCAATTGACTGTACAGATTTCGTTCATATACAGAAAACCAAGCCAAGATCAAAAGGAATTCATGGTGATGACGTAACACCTCTTCATCTTCATCATCTCCCTCACAGCTTCACCGCACGCCTTGCTCACTTCCCCATCATCATCACCATCACCATTAACGTCACCAACCAACTTCAGCCCATCTCCCCTGCCTTCGCCGTCGCCGGCGCCCGCAGGCCGGATTTCGATCAGAGTCGCCCCTGTCATCGAATACCCTGTTTCCTTCATCTCCAACTCCGGCAGGTACCACATCCGCAGCTTCAAATCCGGAACCCGACTCCTACCCATTGTCGAATTCGACGAATCATTATCACCAACATTCATCGAAGACGACGATACAGAGTCTCTCAGCTCCAAAATCTCATCTTTCCCCATGGTAACCTTCCCCTGTTTCGTTACGTCGCTGAGAATCACATTTTCCAGAGCAGAGTGCTGATTTTTCCCCCCGGCCAGAAGCTTCTTCACGAGAGAATGCCTTGCGGAGGCAGCAAGCAGGCAGGAAATCGTCCACATTATTCTCAGCTTCAGATTGTCGTCGCTCAGAGTCCCCTGAGTATCTCGTTCTTCTTCTTCTTGCTGCTCCCCTGTTCTTTCTCCTACTCTGCTCTGGCTATTAATTGTTCTTCGGAATGACGTGGCGCCGAGGATGACGCAACTCTTGATCTGGCTACCGAACTCCGCATTCCACTTTAGAATCGGATCCCCTTCCGCCCCGCATCCGCCGCCCACGTCAGAGTCGTCGGAAGGTAGCCGGAGGTGGAGAGATTTGAGCTCCGGGAAGGAACAGAGGAGGTGGGCAGGGGAGTGGTAGGAAACAGGGGCGGGTGGTTCCCCGTTTGATTTGGAGCAATCGTGGCGGTGGATACGGCGGCGGTGGAGGAGATCACGGCTGGGTTTGGCGACGGCGGCGATCAGCTTGCGGAGGAAGCTGAAGAAGAGGTTGGAGGACGAGGAGGGAGTGGGGTTGAGTGGTGGGAGGGAGAGAGTGACGGAATTGGTTTGGACGGCGAGGGAAGCGAATCTCCGGCAGACGGCGAGGCAGCGGAGGAGTGACTTGGCGTCGGATTCGCCGACTTTGGTGAACACGGCGTGGAGGAGCTCGTCGGGGAGACGGTCAAAGGGATCTGCGGCCATTTTTTGGGCTTTCTGGGTTGTGTGTGAAATTGATGATGTGAGTTTAGGTGGGAAGAAGAATGGAGGTTGGGATTTAAGAAGGAAAAGGAGGGAATGGATTTGTCAAGGATTGTTGCAGTGCCCGTTTTTGAAGGGTTGAAGAAGAAGAAGAAAACTAGAAGGAATTTGACCGGATCATCATCTGAACGCTGCCAGCCTGACCGAGACACACGAGTTGCTGACTCCGCACACCAAGGTGGGAAGAAGAGAAGAAGAAGAAGATTGAATATTTAAATAAAAAATAATCATGTTGCCTAAGAATAGTAATGAGTCTGTGGGTAAATCAAAATGATGTTCCATAACAAAGATTTGAAAACTATTTATTTAAAAATTATCATTTTTCTAGTATGGGTTAAAATTATGCATTCCAATATGCCACTAAGTAATTAGGATTTTTAGAATGAAATAATAATTTTATCATAGGAATTTCAGAAAAAGGGAAAACAGATAGATACAAGTTTATCTATACAATGCTTTTGTAATTTGCATTTCAAATCACAAAACTGAAATGGGAATATGACGTTGGTCGATCAATAATAGATCTAACGATAAAGAGGATTTGCTTTGCTATGATAGAGGCAACCCTATTATATCTATGAGGCACCAAATGAAAGATTAATTTATGTTATAACGACTTCTCAACCTTAAAATATAATTAATTATGAAATGATGTGTGCATCAATTTATGGGTAAAAGTGGTTGATTTCGAGTAAGGTATTGCACTAGTTTATTTGGTAAACATAAGCATTCGGGTCGGGAATTTGGTATAACAAAAGTACATATCAGTATTATTAGAAATAGGGAAAAAAGTATAATTTACCATTATATGTAGTGACAACGATTCATCAAATAATCAACTTCTCAATCAAATACACTCAAATCAACTCCTAAATTCTACATTTTCAAAACTATTTGAAAATGAGGTAGACCTCAATTTACTTATGTTTATACCCTTCTGCAATTTTACCAATTCTCTTATATAAAGTTTAACCAATTCACGAAATTGCTTTACCCATCTCATAGCACTCCAACATTTTTTAATAATGTTATTCTCATACAAGATCAACAAATTAGGAGACGACCTAAATAGTATATCGTAATTCCTTACCTTAAATAAAAATTTGGGCAATGTCTATTTTTTACCCAAACCTTTTTCAGATTCTTTTATTTTAACCAAACCTATAGAAATTCTATTTATTATCCAAACGTATAATAATTTATCAAAGTCTGGGTATTCATTTTGTTACCGTTACTTATTTCGTCCAGTGAGGAGTGGGATTTTGTTTTGTTTTTTGATAATCTTTTTATTAAAAATAGTAAATGATGGTATTCTGACCGCTACGTAGGAAGTCAACTCATTATGGTCATACTTATTCAACATTACTAACAGAAAAGTTGACGGAGAGTTAACGTTTGGATAATTTTTAGGAATTCAATAGGTTTGGTTAAAATAAAAAAATCTGAAAAAGATTTGAGTAAAAAATAGACATTGCCCTAAAAATTTCACCCACTTTTACTTCTATAAATTATTATCAATCTCTCCAATGGAGACCACCTAATCATACTTGCTATTGCAAAAGGACATCTATCCTTTTGTATCAAGCAATGTAGTGTTAGTAATTGAATCTAGCTAGCTTATAGATTTAGACGAGGAACCAAACCCAAGGTAGTATGAAACGAGATTTAGGATGATTGTATAAACATAGTTGGTCGGTTGAACTTTAGTTTCCTTGTACATTAATTCTTAATTACGGATAATTAGGTGGTGTGGATAAGATCTTAATCATATTTTAATAAAAAAAAAGGGGGTTCTGCAAAATCGCCGCCTAAACAACGTGCATCAAGTAATCCTCGTTACATTCACAATAATAATAGTATTAGGTTTCTACATTTTCTCGTCCGCCCAATTCAGACGGCCAGCCCTAAAATATTTTTTTTCCGGCCAAGTCCGAGAGAATTGGAGGATATTGTTTTTAATTACTTTTCCACTTTGATCGGTGACGTGGCGCTGACTTTGCTGGCAAGTTGATGACTGCTAGGTATGACGTGTACGGAATTCTTATCTGGCAAGTGGCGAAGCTGATGGTTGCCGCCGGTAGATCAGCCACCAACCAAACGACGTGGCAAAGGGATTGACATGATTCGACCCGGTTTAAAATTGAACCAAAATCGGCCATAGACCGAAGGTGGGTTTGGTTCAATTCAAAACGGAATCATATTGGGTAAATGACACATTTGGTCACTGAGATTATTAAATTGTGTCATGTTTAGTCACTAGAAAAAATTAATATCAATTTTGGTCACTCGAATTACCGAAACTGGTCAAATTTAGTCACTCTCCCGTCAGTTTCCGTCCAACTCCATTAATGTAGTTGGACGGAAACTTTTGGGAGAGTGACTAAATGTGACATGTTTCAGTAATACGAGTGACTAAATGTGACATTTTTCAATAATTCGAGTGACCGGAGTTGGACAGAGGCTACAGAAGAGTGACCAAATGTGACCTGTGTCAGTAATTCGAGTGACCAAAATTGATATTAAATTTTTCTAGTGACTAAATATGACACTATTTAGTAATCTCAGTGACCAAATGTGTCATTTACCCGAATCATATTTTATTAAATTCCATTTGATTCGGTTTCAATATCGACCACATCCGGTATGGAACGAACACTTGCACATCCTCTAGCTGCTAGCAACAAGTTGACGAGGTTTTCACTAATGATATTTATCAAACCTAATTATCCCTCTAAGTAAAAGATTAACAAAACATTAATGGGTGGTTTGGACGTTGGTGAAATATGGATAACCAGTTTTTATAAAAAAAAACAATCTTCCGACGCCGCAAATCTTACCTATCTCTCTCTCTGTGGTATATGATGTGTCCTGATTTGGACTGTAATTTCTTTTGTTTACTGTCTGAGAGAAGAAGAGGATGAAGTAGTTATTAGTTAAACGTCCCTATGTTCCACATTTACCATGACAGCAAGCAGCTAAGCTAGTGGTTTAGTTCTATATGTATAAAAAGGTCTTTGGAAGGTGTACCAATTGGAATTTGGCTGGTGTGCTGCATATTAGCCACAACCTGAGTCTCATTCAACCGTGTAGAGAGATTGAAGATGGGGTCCGACGAGAGGTCGGCTGGATCCGAAATATTTAAGGGGTCGGAGTTACTTTCGCCAAGCGTTTTATGTATTTCTGACACTACCCAGATACGATTTGTCAGAAGGTGTTTGACACTGTAGCTTTTGTCTAACTGACTCTAGACATGGAGATGTCGGCTTCTATAGGCTTTGCTCATTGATTTATTTATTCTTCTTCTTAGGCTTTCTCTTGTGATTTTAGTTTACATGTTTAGAGTTTTGACACTTATCTCCGATCCGATATAATTAGGAAAGAATGTTCAAAATACTTTCATGTTAACGAAAAGGTATTTGTCAGAATTGTCATCAACATCGAACGAGGCATTGAAGGTATTATTCCCTCAATTAAAAATGGGTTCGACTCTATGAAAAATTACTGTGGTTGTTTTTTTTTATCCACAAAAAAAATGTTGTAGTTAATTAGACTACTTGAACAAGCACCCTAAAGGTCAATGTTGGTCGTTGGATGGTAAATTTCCAACTTGTGGCATCACATCTTCTCACAGGGATCAGCAGTCTTCGGACTACAAATTGAGAATATACCTTTCTTTCAGAAAAGTCAACAGTATGGAAAACTCTCTTTTGAAAAACAAAACCTTTTCATCTCCTTTATCTTCCTTTCAAAGATGGAAAAAGCTGACTGGACTTGGTTGCATTTCAACATAAACAATGACCACGGCTTCATTCAAATTCATGCTCATGTAAGGAGAAGCCTTGCAGAAGGAGGTAGCATCATCATAAGCAGCAAATGTATAATACAACAGCATATTGTACAACAGTGTTCCGCATACTTTGAACCAGTACTGAACTGAATGAGAAACAGAATGGACTGTAATTACAAGGCCAGGCTTTTTGTAGTCCCTTTTTGTGTAGTTCATATTGAATCAAATCCTGGAAGGAATGAGGGGGATGGCGTTCTGCAGGTAAGCACTTGCTGCTGCAACTCCGCTCCCAAGCTTCACCGGGTACCCGACATCCTTCAGTATCATCTCCACTCCAGCTAGGCACCCCAGAAGTTGCAGCTGATCGTTCAAACAAAACCAGAGCAAGAACTTCGATAAGAATTCACGATTTCGACAGATGTTTACTTAAGGATGTTTGTAGAGAGATATATATACCTCATTCAAGTTGCCCAGATGGCCTATTCTGAAGACCTTGCCAGCAACCTTGTTAAGCCCCAGGCCTAAGCTGAGGTTGTACCTTTTCCATGCCCTCCTAACTATCTCTGCACTGTCAATGTATGGAGGAACCATCACAGCAGTCACTGTGTCACTCACCCATTCCTCCTTCTGGGTGCAGTTCTTCAAACCCCATGCCTCCACTGCAAGCCTGCATCGCGCCATTCATTCATTCATTACCACCACAATTCAATGCCACTCTAATTGCAACAATAACAAAGCGCAAAACCTTTCTTCATTATAGTTACTTTGACTAGCAAATCTATGATGAGAGCAGATTCTTCACCTAGTGGCTTTGCCCAAGCGGGCGTGCCTGGCAATGACATTGTCGAGCCCTTCCTCGAAGAGAAGGTCCAGAGCTGCTCTGAGCCCATACAGCAGCTGGATGGAAGGTGTGTATGGCCAGTAGGTCCCTATCTTGTAGAACTTCAAGTAGTCACTCCAGTCAAAGAACACCCTGTAAGATTTGGCAGTCTTTGCAGCCTCGAGAGCCTTAGGGCTTGCACACACAATTCCCAGCCCAGTTGGTAGGGAAAGAGCCTTCTGAGAGCCAGTCAGTGCCACATCCACTCCCCACTCATCCATACGGAAATCAAGTGCACAGATTGAAGACACCCCATCCACCAGGAGCAGAGCCGGGTGGCGGTAATCATCTGCACTCCAACCACACACACACACACACACAAAAAAGACCCTCATTTTCAGGTACCAAGATAAGATACAAAAGAAATGAATTGCAAGTTGTATAACAGTCCTGTATGTGACACTCACCAAGAATCTTTCTGACCTTGGCCAAGTTGTTGGTGACACCAGTGGCAGTCTCATTGTGAACGATGCAAATCGCCTTGATGGTATGCGAAGGGTCAGCAGCAAGCTTAGCTGCGAGGACATCGAGCTTGGCACCTTCACCCCAATCGCTCTCCACAACATCAACATCGAAACCCAGGCGCTTCTGCTGATCCACCCACAGCAGGCTGAACTGGCCAATCAGGAACGAAATCGTCTTGTCCCCTGGCGACAGAGTGTTGGTCAGAGCACTCTCCCATGCCCCCGTACCTTTAAGGAAAGCCAAAACCAAACATTGGGTTATGATCAATATGATCAATATGATGACAATATTTTTGCATTCCCAACAGCAGACAAAGTTGTATGATTTTTACCGGTGGTGGGGAAGAGGAAGGGAGTGCCGGTAGTGGTCTTGAAGATCTTCTTGACGTCCTCGAGGAGTGTCTTGGTGAGAGCAGGGACGGCAGGGGAGCGGTAATCCTCGTTGTTTCGGTTCATGGCGCGAAGGACCGGCTCCGGGATGTTGACCGGACCGGGGACGAACAGGTGGTTCCTGCCGGGTGCATATGTGTAATCCATGTTTTCACAGAGTAATTAACTTCCAGGCCTCCCTCTCCTTCCGGCCCTGCCAAAATGAGCAGCGAAATCAGGACACAGAAATGATAATCTGAAGTGGGAAACAATCACCACAGAAATGACAACAAAAGCATCAGGCAAAAAAGCTTTTTGCTGCTTCTCCTTTTGGAATTGAAGTTGACAGGATCCAGAGTTTACGTAAAACAGCAGTAACTACTTATTATGGAAGATCTCCCTCCGTCACCGTTCATTAACAAAAAAGAAGAATCACGAGTAAGCAATATCAGCCTATGACTCGACGTTTTCAGGAACTGCGTCCAGAAAGAAGAAATAAAAAACGGCTGCCACTAAGATACACGCTACTAAAGAACTCGTAGTAATCTATGATATGAAACTTGATAAGCCAGCCACGTGACATCCAATTCACAAACATTTTCTGACGTGGGCGCTGTTAGGAAAAAAGATTAATACATGGAAAATTATTAAGCGTCTATCTACATGTAAAATATCCATATATTTCTTCTCCCGGGAAACTAATCTCTCATTCGAATTAAATAACTTTTGATGTTGTCTTTTTTCATGTTAAAAAACTTCAAAAAATTTCTCCAAATTTTAGAAAAGTAGTTCAAACCCAAAGTGCAAGCTAACCCAAAGTTGATCCTTTTCACTGTCGAATTTATGTATTAAGTTGTGGCTCTTAGATTTTTATTTTTATTTTAGCAATTTCCAGTGAAAAAGTGTATCGCTTGGTTCTGACAGTGCAAGATTATTTTTACGAACCGGTTGGTATTACCGATTACGGAAATTAGAAAATGAAGAAATCAAAAGCCTCCTCTCGTTTCCAAATTTGTCTGAAGATATAATAAGCTCTTTTCGCTCAGTCCTTGTTTGTGCCATGGAGGAAAATAGACGATCGCCTTTTAGCCAAACAAAAGGATCAACAATACGTGTATGGTTCCATAACAGAAAGAACGTTTTACGATCGACGGTACATGGAAACATGACGGAGTAAGGCCGCCGGACGACGAGGAGCAGAAAGTGAAGGCAGAAAAAGCACACAGCCAACACAGCAAGTGACATGCACACAACATTAACACACAAGCCAGCAAGCAGAAGAGTAGGGAGCACGGCAGCGTACCTATCGTCCGGGAATTCTCCGGCCGGCCGATCTGCTTTTCGGGCGAGGAACAGTACACAAGACGAGTGTGGTATACTTAATATAAGGCCAAACCGTAGAGAATGGAGGAGAGGGAAGGCCGGGGGATTTCTATATGTAAAAAGGAAAGGGAAGAAAGAACCACAAGCCTCTCTACTACACTAATCCAACAAAAGTGGGGCCTACTCTCCCCTTCGCAACATCTCTCACTTGGGATAAGAATTTACCCGCGATTGGTCTCCTGCGGCTACCATCAATCCACCATATACACACAATACAAATACTACAACGACATGCAACCTGTTTCTGGTCTTTTCTGCTCTTCCCAATTTTTAACCGTTCACCACCTGAGGTGAATGCATCGTGAAATCAAGAGTGTATCGTAGGCACATGCTTCACACTATTATGAATTATCAGATAAGGCATCAAAGGTTGGAGACGTACCACCTTCCAATTGGTGAACTACGTACATAGTTGTTACTCCAACATCGACTTGTGCCAGGCCTGTCACACAAATCCTAGTAGACGTTATCGACATGAAAGTTGTCCACAAAAAGGTGATGTTTGTGACACATAAATCATACTGGTGTTAGTTCAAACCCAATCACATATCCCCCAACATGGTGGTGGTGGTGTGGTACGTTCAAAAAAGTTGAATGGGGTCTAAATGGCCTCAATAGCTCATTTCCTAATAAGGTGAACCAAAAGCAGAAAAACAGGATGGCAGGGAAAAAAACGAGCAAATTAGTAAATTAGCATAACATAACTGACTAATTACAAAGGTAAATCCAAGAGTAATCAGGATGTAAAACCCTAATCTACCCAATGTGAATACAAAAGGAGAGAAGGAATCATGGAACAAAGATCAACATGAGGTAGAGAAAGCAACTGGGAAAGATAACGTGATAACGGTGTGTATCAGCCACACCCTCCATCGCGGGAACTAACACCACACATAGACACAGCAACACTAGCAGCCAGCCAACATCACTTCCCCATCTCTCTGTTTTTGCTGATAGTTGCTGATTCCTCTCCTCCCCTTTTTTGTTGTTTAGCAATAGGGGCATATATGGCCTCTTTGTCTCCCCAAGCTAGTTATCCATACTCTGAGGCTTCCAAGTTCTAACCTATTCTCTTCCTCCCACTCTCTCCACTGATTCCCAGGCCCACCTTTTTGTTTCTTTCCCTTTTCCCCTCCCACTTCCTAATATTCTTCCCATAATAAAATATCAAGTTGGCTAAAACTGCAGTGCATTGCATTGCATGCCTTCTTGTACACATTCTAACCACACACAACTTAAAGCACAAAACACCAAACAAGCAATGCTTAATACGAGTAAGCTTGGTGGCAAAACAACACACTCCTCTTCTAGCAGGTAACACCATAATACTCTTCCTGAATTTGGCAGGTCTCGTTTTTATATTTGTCTTGACAGACTTCTACTCTCATTCATTCCTCATTCACAAGGAAGATTCGACCCGAAGTTAACGACCAGATTGTTAAATAACTTGGAGCAAACCAATGCAACTAAAGTGTATATGGATATGGAAAGGGAAGGGGTACCTCTTTAGTAACCGATCGATGTGTGCTCGACCAGGCTCTGCTTACGGAACACAAGCCGGAAGAAACACAGCAGCACCAGGTCAGCTGCATCACAGAGTTGGCAGCCTTATCCTTGGCCTAGAAGCAATTCACCACTGCATGGACTTCACAGAAGATGTACAATCGTCAGTAACTCAGTGCATGAGATTCCATTCATAAATCATAACACAACATGACAACATCAGATACCAAAAAGGCTAGGGATATAATTACAGAAAGAGAGAGGGGGAGGACGGGGATTCATTCAGCCATTCATCCATGTGGTAGATAAAAATGAGCTACTACTCTTCAAAAAGGGACAAAATTGATAAAATGTACAACTTTTCTCCCATTAAATCATCATACATGTAAACTGTTCTCAGGCTACTCACTTCTCTGTGTTCCAGATCAAAGTGAGGAGTTGCTAATCTCTTTTTCTAAACTCTTTACTATGTATGTAAAAACAAATTAATCCTCCATCACAGATTCTCTACCAAGAACTAGAACTATCGCGCAAGCAAAACTGTTTCCTCCTGCTTATACGTCAAACCGACTATCAGATTTCTTCCCCCATGCAACCAGCCACCTTCCACAGTTTATGCCAGTTCCCCATCTCGCGGATATCTTCGGTATCAGCAACAAAAGAACCACGAGCAGTGAGCTCCAAAGGTTTATTTAATAGAGTGAAAAAGAATAGCACTGCCAGTGCCCCAAACGGCTGATGCAGTGTCCCCCAGTGGCTGAGCTTGTAATAATGTGACCAAAGAGGAATGCCCATGGGGGCATGATTGGTCTTTCACTTGAATTCTCCTCATTCCGTCAAGCACTTGGGTTTAGTTTGTACCCTGACGGGAAGTTCTTTTCATCTTGGAGGAAAACCAGCTTGACGCATTCTGTAAGGCCTCCCATTACTGAGCTGCCTATTATCAGATGGTGCTGCACCAAGGATCCCCAATGAATTAGGGTCAACTACACGGTTGCCATTAGTATTCATCAACCGTGGTTGAGCTTGGGGGAGGGTATGCTGTGTTTGTAAAGGTATATCAGCTTCAGCTCTTCTCCGTCTTTTCCATGCTTCGAATTTCGCAGTGTCGAGACCTTTTGGAGTAGGATCGGACAATTGATAACCAGATTTCTGCCCTCTCTGCCTATCAGCATGACCTGAAAATTGAGGGAAATAATTTGACGAATCTCCATCTCCATTCATATACGAGGGTCCCACCCCTGCCTCTTCATCCAGCTCCTTTTTCAGTTTCGAGTATGTCTGTTCGAGTCTCTCTCCGGATAGATTTGAATAGGTTGAAACATATTTCCACAGCCTCATTGCTAATCCTGAAAAGAACATTCATTTCCAGAATTAAATAGATGACTAATAACTGAAGCTGAGGTAACAAAGGTTAATAAGCAACTAATTTAAGCAAAAGAAAAACGTACTATCTGGCTTATAAAGGTCTTCGTATTCTGATATTATTTGGTCGATTCTTCTTCCAATTATCAGCAAATAGTTCCGGATCTTTGAGAGTACCTGGATAAAATGGTTCAAGTCGAATGTAACGAGTGAGATGTAACATTCACATGAAACAGAATTACCACAATCAATTCCACAGCACACCTTTTCCTTTGGGAGGTCCGCACTGGTAGTCTGCAGTCTGTGGAGTCGCTTTAACGTTTTTATCTCATCAACCATGACATCATGGCACCACTCAGTCCATTTCATTTGCTTAAATTGCACGCTAAGTTCCTCATTATCTGACATCTCACCTTCCTCTTTCACTAGCGGCTCAACTCTCTGTTGTGGTTTCTGATTTTGCCTATTCCTGCTGCTATGGGTATTATTAACTGTCCCGAAATTAGGTTTCACCTTCTTGTCCTTCATTCGAAGTGCTGAAGAATTTACGAGAGGCCCAGTTTCCTTCTTAGAAGCCTTCCGTCCTGCTTTAACCTTGGCATTCTTACCCCCGGCAGCTGCAAGTTCCTGATACAGAAAGAAAGCATAGACTACAAAATTTTAGATACGACATGAGAAACATAACTAGATAAAACATATTCTATAGTTTAGCAAAAATATTGACACCAGTTTCAGTCTTAACCCATAAAATTATGCAGGAACATAACACACTCCAACCCATGAGCACCCGAAGAGTCAGGGAGTCACGAACTGCTCAGTGCGATAAGGGCAAAGGTTATGCACACAGTTCAATACATTACAAGGTGAAGAAGCAACAGTGAAAACTAACACTAAGGAGGGAAGATATGTAGCAAGGCAGTCCCTCGTCCAGTAACCACATTCATTTTGCACATCTAACAGATTTCAGACTCACCATCTCTAAGAGAGCATTAGCCCGGTCCCTCAAATTAGGGGCACGAGGAAGAAATGTCTCATGGTGTTGGAGTTCTGCTGGGGCGATCTTCTTGGAGAGGCAAAGCCTTTCATCTAATCTTATCTTCTCCCAGTTACCAAACCCATGGTGATATATGCCCAGAAGCAATCTTGCATCGTCAACTGAGGAAACAGGCACACAGATCACTCCACATACGAACAATTGCCAACAACTTCATAAGACGGTGACTGAAAATTGAATGAAACACATACTCTGATTCCAGCCACAGCCCTTGGACCAGTTTGAAGGTTTGAGATCTGACAACACACGGAATTGTGCAACAGGATTCTCATAACGGTTTATTCGTTTTTCCAGTAGCTGCAGTTCTTGAACACGAGTGAGCAAATCGTTGGCCTTCACCGAAACACCAAAAAAATCTAACAATGGCCCCTACACGAGAATGCATTGACAGTGTTAGCCCCAACCTTAAAAAAGATTCAATAAAAACAGAAGGTGGGATGAGCTGTGGCAATAAATGAAGACAAGAAAAAATTAATGAGGCACCTTCAGAGTAACCAACCTTTGGGTCCATACTTTCTACTTCACTAGCCTCTTTGCAACCATCTACCAAGGCATCGAAAAGCTCAATCTGTGCATCTTGTGGAGCTGCTGCAAAGGCTCCGCCAACTTCAGCAGCTATCAAATCAAGTTGGCTAAGATTCCCAAATTTCATTACCTGTCCCGGAATATTTAACAGAAAAATAATCAGTTTGAAAATACTGCATAAAAAAATAAACAGAAAGATAAGGCAACATCATTAACAAACTATACAGCATTTTAATGAATGCTAGATATACTTGACAATGCTCCAGAGAAGTGCTTGGCAATATTCAGATAGATGTCCAGAAAAGCCATAAACCCGCCAAGTTATTAGTAGCAGAAATTCCAAGGGTTTATATAAGCCAGCTCAGTCATTGTCAAACAAAAGGGATCTTATAATTCTCAGCTGAGTTCAACCAATGTATATTTCCTACAATAAACGAATACCACAGCACTTTAACAATAGCTCTTATGACTGACCCTAGGAGACTAGCACATCCTCCATTGAACCCTAAAATTCATTTTCTGGAACCTATTTGAACTGCCACAAAAAACCATGCATCTAATTTAACGCTTTTGACTTTACTAAGTAAAAAGCAACAAATTCAGCTGTTACCGCCCCTTGTGCAGCACAAGGATTCAGAATCAGATACTGGCATAAAGCAAGATGTCTCTAAAGACAACTACGAGCATACCGCGCGAGAAAAGCGTAAGGCATCCCTCTTAGACAGATTCCCATACGACCAATCTCTGACTTGAGCAGAAGCTCCATCAATCATTGACACCAATGGGGCAGAATGATCTGCTGCTTTTCTACGCTTCTGTGCTCTTTCCTGCGGTTCTGGTGGCTCAGAAGCTTTCTTTTTCCGTTTGCTGCTTCTCTCGGCTGGGTCAGTCTCAGCATAACTCTTCGTATTTCTTGCAGCACGCGGAGCTAAAGCATTCTGGAAACCAGGGAACGTAATGAGTCAACTAACTCTAGTTCAGGATAAAATTTCCAATTCCAAAAATTGGTAATCATAAAGCAAATGGATGTGAAAAGCAACATGCAGAAACTGGGAATGAAGACAAACACAATCCTAAGACAAATGAGAAATCTGCTTCTGCAGGTGACAACTGTATCTAGGAACACATGTACATGGACAGGGCCCCAATCCTAGCAGGGAAACAATCTAATATGAGTTGAAACTCATAAAGCATGTTTAGTTGAAATAAATAAATAAATAAATAATACATTGTACTAAACATTTTGTTATTCACTGACCAACTAGATTCCTTTGACCGAATGCACCGAATCACATTTCCCTTTCAGAAATGTTCAATAATAGGCTTCTGAAAGGCATCACAAGATAGGTCTGTATAGTCAGAATCTTGACCATAGGCATCATTTTCTTAGCTCATTCTATTCAGTGTTATAATATAATATATTTATTTCATCTTTTTCAGTCAAACAGTGCCCCTATAGTAAGTGACCATTGAGAAGCACAATATCCTCGAGGTGATTTAAAATGACTTAAGTGTGAGCATGCCAACTATTTTAAAGTTTTAGATTGTCATTGTATACATGCTTAGAGTCTTAACACTTAAATGGACACTCTAAATTGTCTCTGTCATTGATAATATATGTGTAAGAGTCGGCAACAGAAAAATCAGATGCATGTATAAAACGCAAATATGTGAGAGATCATACTTCAGCATCAGCTACAGCATCTGGTTTTATCCACCTACTCCAGAAACTTGTATCATCTTCCGCAGAACCAAAATTTGCAACCTGGAGATTATCAGCAGAAAATTTATTGCATGGTTAATCTGAAAGCATAAATATGTTGTACATCAAGTTAACAAGGCAGCAAAGCAAAAAAAACTAAGCATTAGATGCAGAAGAAATCAAACATGAATATCTTCTGTATAAAGGGTCTTGCCTTAAATGCACTCAACAGTTCATGCCCTTCCTCTTGTTCACCTTCCTTCTCTTCAACCTTCTCCGCTCTTTCCAGGATTTCATCAATATCCATGCTTAAGAGCCTTTTCTTGTTTTCTTCATCACTTCTTTCTTCTTTAAAGAGTTCCTCAGCCCCAAACCGCAAAATTGCAGACAGTTCATTCTGCAGATGTGGGAATAAGAACTTAATAATGTTGATAGACAGCCGCCAAGTGTACAAGTCTGTTCCAAGTTCCAACATATCCTTACTTTGTCAAAATAACTTCCCTTCTTTGCTTCTTTCTTTTCTAATCTCCCCTCAGCATTCAGCTTTTGGATAACCAAATGGTCAAGAACCTATAAAGATGTCATGAACCTTGTAAGATGGTAACCCATACACATGTACACTACTTATGCACATGCATAGATGGAATAAGCCAAGAACGAGAAAGGAAATCGTGAAGGATAATGGAGTATAACATAATATAAGCACACTACCATTTTCTTTTTAGCTCGCTCGAGGATATCCTCCTCAACACTTTTGCTTGTCACAAATCTATAGATGTTAACAACTTCTTGTTGTCCAATTCTGTGAGCTCTACTCATAGCCTGTAAATGACAACGTAGCAAGTTACGCTTGAAACATTCAGTAAAAGAAGGCTAATGGCACAACCTATGAAAGGAGGAGAAATAAGAATTTGAGATGCAATCCAAATCTAGACCTGTAAGTCGTTTTGTGGATTCCAATCTGAATCAAATATTATAACTGTGTCAGCCGTTGCAAGGTTTATACCAAGACCACCCGCCCTAGTTGATAGAAGAAAGCAGAAATCATCACTTCCAGGTGCATTAAAATGCTCCATTGCCTGATGACGCAACTCGGCCTTGGTACTCCCATCAAGCCTCTGAAATTGAAACCCTCTGTGTGACATATACTCGGCAAGTATGTCCAGCATTCTGACCATCTGCAGCAGCTCAGTCAAGGCTCAGCTCATTAACAAGTTAAGATCAAACAATAAATCTCTAATTGATAAGCATAATCAAACAATATACAAATGCAGCATTTTAGTACGCCACACCGCTTCAGCTTTGACGATAGGAATCAAAAAACAGACAGAGGGTAGGACACAGACAGCACCCAAGTCACAAGAGGAATGCAAAAAGAAGAGGCAGAATAGAAATGTATAGGTCCGAGTACATATAAGCTCAAAACATACTAACACAATAGAAACGAACCTGTGAAAAAATCAGAACACGATGTTTTGTCTCGTGCAATCGGACAAGCAATTTGTCAAGTATTACTAGCTTTCCACTGCTCAAGATAATTCTCTCCAATTTGCTTCCATCATCAAAGGTATCACCCCCATAACCATGGTCAGCACTTTCAAAGAGAAAGGGATGATTACAACATTTCTTCAACTCCACCACAATGTTAAGAAGTGACACCTGAAAATATGAAGAACAGAAATTGAGTAATAAATGGCAATTTTCGGACAGAAATTACTAGAGGATAGCATGACTGACATGCCTAAGGTTTCGCCCTGAGAAATTCAAGGCTTACTATTACTAACCATCAAAAGCAATTTTAATATCATGAAATAATTACATCTTTAAATGGAAATATACTGTCTATGCAAGCATTACACAAAAACATGCCACCACCAAGAAGGGGCAGCACAGGGTAACTCTAAAAATAGCTGACACACGACGAGTAGGAACCTGATTTCCACGAACTCCTTTGTTTAAGTCATGGAAGTTGCGTTCCAAGATCCATTTATAGTACCTAAGCAACATAAAGAAAAAGGGTTCACAAACTAAGCTGGAAGCATGATTATGCAACTGTATCAAGACAGCAGTACTCACTGTTTCTGTAGAGGGGACATTTCCACCCTCAAAATACGCTCAATTTTTGGAGGCAAAGATTTCTCCACGTCTTTAATGACTCTTCTGAGGATATGGGGCCTCAATTCCATATGCAGATTAGCAAGCTACAAAAATGACAAATTAGCCCAAATAAATGGAGCCAATGGAACCTTGCCTTCAGAGCAGTGGCAAATGAGACGACATTTCCATGCATTTATTCATACCTCATTTTCATTGAATGAACTAAGATTCTTGTAGTTCTGGACAAAATCATCTTTGTTCTTGAATTTATCTGGATCAAGGAAATGCAGCAAAGCCCTGGTATATTCGGACATCAAAACAATATTCTTTTTAGAAATGAAACATATAATTATTTTGGTATAATAGAGGAATGACACATCAGATTACAAGGAAAGAAGAACATGTCAACCAGAACCAAGCAGTGAAGTCCTTCAGTACATTACGTGCCAACAAATTATATCTTTAATTCAATCAACAGTCATGAAGTGTATATACCAAACAATTTCAACTATTTTGTTGTGATATGACACAGCAGACGACAATAAAGGATTATTTAGTAAATTACGCATGCTATCATTCACGCTCAAATTTCAAAACGAAGAACCGTATTATGGAAACCAGAAAAACAAATAGTTATACTTTCCTTTGACATGTAAAGAAAAGAAAAGCAAAGAAAGAGAAATACCCCCATAAACGAGCAACACAGTTCATAATCAATAAGATCATTTTTCAGGATTCATGTTGGAGTTAACTAATACATTTAACAGACACGCTTCGACTGAAAGCTGAAAACAAAAGCATTTGTTCTATCATGTCAATACCATAGTTCTTCCACACTGTTTTGCAGTGGAGTGCCAGTGATCAGCAACTTGTTTTTGGTACTGAATTCCTGAGGGGGAAAATAGTTCATTATGGCAAATACATACAAAATGAATGGGCAACACACTATTGAACAATAAAGATAACTATTTGGATATTGGTCTTACAGAGAGAGTCGTGTACAGCTGCGCCTCACTATTCTTTAACCTGTGAGCTTCATCAACCATCATATAGTTCCATTTGATCTTTGACAGCACTGCTTTGTCTTTCAGAACAACTTCATATGTGGTCAGCAGTGCATTAAACTTTGCTGGCCTACCAACTTTCTTCTCGTTGTGGAACTCATATTGTTGGCAAACCTGTGTCAGTCCAAGCATTTGCAAGAACAAATCATAAATAGCACCTTGACCAGGAAGAGATAAACTACACCAAACTAGAAGAGAAAATACAGAATTGAGAGACACAACTACAATCATGAATCCCCAAAATCCCTGAAGCTGTAGTATTTAGATATCCCAGTTTATATTAAACAGCTTGTTGTTGTTCTAACATGCGGTCGAAGGAACAATGTCAATCTATTGTCAGACTGTCAAGTGTCAATTAGGGGAACTGATTACTTTATCCAGGGACCTACGTATCCAGACATCTTATCCGCAGCAAGAACATGGATCTAGGTTTCCACACGTCATATGTTTACCAAGAACAACAAATCCTATAATAGCCAGGCGACCGGAAGTATGAAGTATGAAGCTGAAACTTCTTCCAGAAATATTAATTCAGAGCAATTACTGAAACAATGAAATTGTAATAGCCACCCGGTTGAAACAAAACAGAATTTGCTGCATTAAAAACAAGCAAAACCTTACCTCTCGGCTGGCACGCGTACCAACGTATACTATTATGTTCATATCTGGAAGCCACTTTCTAAATTCTTTCGCCCAGTTAGATAGTGTGGACAAAGGCACAATAACAAGAAATGGGCCAGGGATCTGCTGAGCATACTGCAGGACAAAAAGAGTTATGTTTACACAAGTTAAAGAAATATGCAGATCAAATTCAGAAGGTCAACTGAAAGGCATACCTGAAGAAACCCAAGCATTGAAACTGACTGCACCGTTTTCCCAAGACCCATCTCATCAGCTAGAATGACATTCGTATCATTTCTCCAGCTGTTCAAGTATAATGGAGAAGATTATAAATGTGTTGAGGTGAAAACCCAAATTCATATTCCACTTAATCCATCAATGTAAAATAATACCTGTTCACAAGAAAATTCAAGCCCTCCAGCTGATAATCACGAAGCTTTCCTCCTCTCAACCATTCAGGCTGCTCATCAAGCTTTCTCAAGCTTGCTACACATAACAATAAATCAATAATTATAATCAGAGGATAAGAGCATCAATTATCACCACTTACAATTTTAAAAACTACAGAAGAATCATTAACTAGGCTCGAGCATCAATTAATAGTTACGCAAGCTTAGGGCGAAGGTATGAGGAATGGCTCTGTAAATGCAATTGCACACCTTTGCCTTTCCTCCGCTGAAAATCCACCATTTTCCCTTGTACAGCTGCAATTGCCGCCTCACGTGCCTGCGCGGCAAAATAGAAGTAATGGACCTAACTGCTTCAGGGAAGTAAAAGGGAAGCGATGGCCAAGCTATTCCAGAACAAGCATCACTCGTGAGTGACTGGCATAGTACCTTATATTCATCTATCGCGTCTTGAGCAAATGCAATGTCGACATCCTTTTCCCTACAATGCAAGGATTTCAGCAATCAAGTAAGAACCAATACCAATGCATCAAACAATAGATTATTATGACAATAGTAGCAAAAAAATTGTATACCATCGCACAAAACTATTTGCACAACATATAATTTGCAAGGGTAATAAACCAAAAGAAACGTGAAGGAGAAAGAAATAAAATTGCCAGAAATGCAAGCTACATGGAATCTAACATAAGTTACCAGGTGGCCTCAGCATAAGAGAGTCCTTGCCACTTGACTAGATACTCCGGTATAATATTACCAGAGCTATCTTTGCTTATTCGGTCAGAAACAACTCTTTCCACCTGACATGAAAAGATAATTGTGATAGAATTGAGATCAACAGATGCGATGCAACAACAAAGAAATGGTTGAAGATTCCAGGAAAAAAGTAAAACCTGGCTATTTTGTTTTATAAGATCCAAATCCATTTCCCTGCTCACATCGTTGACCTCAATCTGAATACACCAAAAATCAAAAACAGAAAGAAAAAGCATCGGTAAGAAACTGGTGAACCAATCATCAGAGCCACAAGTAAATTGAAAAAGCAACAAAACTGAAGCTATCCAGCCATCAAAACTATTCACAAAGGCCCTTGCCCAAAGTACAACCAAGACAAGAAACTAGGAAGCCACAAGTTGATAGTCATCTATACAGCCATTGCTCTGAGCTTTAGAATAACGATAACATCGAGAAACAAACACTCGCACGGCATGAGGGGGAGCTCAGAAAATAACGAGAATTGGTGCCATGGTAGTGCTACGAGACGCTCAGCTCAAATCTGTTGCACGAGAGCCCTCAACAACATGAATATTTTCATAATAACAAAAACAAGAAGGACAGATAAAAACTCAGAAGAGGAGATTCCAACCATCATTATAAGTCATACGACCACGTGAGAATCTATCGACTACTTGATAGAATTATACTTCACCCAACCGTAAGTCTCCAATGTTTTTAGAAGGTGTATCTCCCTTCTAGACATTTCAGCAATTCTTACATCAGAGATGAGAGTTTTCAAACAAACATGCAATAAGATTACCTCTTCACGCGAAAGCATCCTCCGATACCTGATATCTTCTACTACTTTTTTGGTATAGTTCAGCACCTTCTTAAAACCGCTGAGCTGGAAAGCCAATATCATTCAAACAGCAGGAACAGATTCAAAGGAACTGTTAGACTTGGTCGTAAATATTACCAATGATGGCTAGATATGAACACCAAAAAATAACAACTCATACATTTTGTAGTTCAAAGAAAGATTTCCACTGACAATGCAAATGTGACTGTCCTTTCCACTTTATCAAGAACTCCACTTCATTCCAATCTGGCTCGGAAGTGAAAAGGTGAGTTGCAAGAACAGGTTCTGCTGATTTATTCTTCCTAAGGGCATCTTCAGCCATTCCCTTTGGCTGATGCCACAACACCTTTTCTATGGAATCTCCATCTTCTTCCTCAATTTCCTCCTAGAATTTAACACATAAAGAAAGAATAAGATAAGAATCCACAAGAAAATGCAATACATTCCAGTTCAAGATGCCTCCAAAAGACAGCATAAAAGTTCACTTATTGGCAATAGCACCAAGAATAAAAATAATACTTCAAGGACACCAAGTATATGAAAACAAGCTTATCCATCTTGGAAATATTAGACAATGACAGATACCATTCTACAAAGTTCTATAATCTACACAGGAAGCCAACCTTTTGAGATTTGTTCTTCTTTGTCTCATCAATTTCTTCACTTTCATCACTTTCAACGTATGACACCTTCCGGACTGACCTACCAGAACTACGCACTTCATTGTTTCGTCCACTAGTATGTGCCAACATAGTGGAGCGAGCATTAGACTTCCGAATATTTGCTCTTCTAGTCAGACTCTTAAAGTCTTCATCACTCTCACTCTCAGAATCCTCAGCAGAGAACTCATCCTCTTCATATGATGATTTGCCTCTTCTAGGCCGTGCTTGAGTGTGTGTGGGCCTGCGCTCTCTTGCAGATTTTGAAGAACGTCCGCCATTACCCCGTTGTCTTCCCTTAGGCCTTTTTGTCTTATAAAAATCATCATCGTCATCATCATCTGAGACATCCAAATCGTCATCAGCATCATCCGAGTCAGCACCCCAGTCTTTATCCTAGGATCATCAGAGAATAATTTATCATTATGTTCCACAGAAGAAAAACTTCAAGAATCAACAAAACAATAGGATATGCAATATGCAAGCTTTCCAGCACGGAGCAACAAGCAATTAAACACAAAGTTTCATTAAAGAAAGATGACAGATCTTGAATCAAAAAAAGAAGAGCATGCACGCCAATAAGTAAGAAAAATAGCAAACCCCACTGAGCGACAATAGTCGAGGAATTCAAACTGATGATCATATATATGTCTTATCTTAGAAATAGAACCCCAATCCGCGTAAACTTCTCGGACTGGGATCAGGTTGATTTCCAAGTTTCTCACATCATAAAATCTTTTAAAATCCAGCACTTATATTCCAACCCACCAATGCACATGCAAGGAATAGAAATATCAAGCAATTATAACCCAACCACCAATGTTTAGGTACTAAACATGGAAACAGGTTTACAATTAATGGCAATGAAGCATCACTAAAGTTGATTTTATCTTCACCCAATATATCCAAATAGATAAGTTCCTAGACAGTAATTGCAAAACTGCAATTACATAGCGCAAACTGATCATCCAAAATGAAAAATATAAACAAAGAACGAAAATTTGATATATCAAAAGGAAAAGACAACATAGAATTGATTGCTCAATTGCTTCAAAAAAAACTATTGCTCTGAAGGAAAGGACATTTACATATTAAGGCACATAACAGAAGAAAATTCCACATGGTTCAAATGTGCGATCCATATCTTCAAAATGCAAATCAAAGCAACTCCCCATAAACCTGGGGTTCATATAATTCACTTTGCCAACTTCTAAGCCTAGTGCATACTGCAACTGAATAAACTCATTTCCGCATCAACATACAGGGTCGTTAATATTTCATGCATGGTAATTGGTTCAATCACAGGTTGATTATCATAACAACTGCCATATAGCATAGGTCCCATAAGAACTAAGAAGTGGCAGACGAGAAATAGGAATCAAAATGTAAGCTATGAAATTGAAAGTGATGCTGACCTTTTTCCCTGGACGAACACTAGTGCCACCATAGTTTGGGTCAAAGTCAACATCCTCTGGGTCGTCTTCTGCAATAAATAAATAAATAAATAACATAGGTTTAGTCCAAGCTCCCAGCGCATCAGCTTTTCCACAAACAGAGTTATACTGAAGCACAATTTTGTATGACAAGCCCAGTAAGATTACAAGAGAATGTAAGCAGTTACCATCGTCCTCTTCCTCATAATCAGCATCACCCTCATCATTGTCATCATCTCTATTATTCCGCATAGCTCTCGAACTCCTGGACGAATTGTTATTGACAGGCGCAGGCTTAGACGGTTGCCTAGAATTCAGACCAGCTGAATTGCTAAAACCCTTAAAGTGAGTCAAATCAGTTGGATCTTCCCCATCCTGCTCGTAATATTCATCCGACAACATCTCATCAGCAGGAACATCATAATGTCCCTTCAAATCTCTATGTGATTCTTTTGCCTCTTCATCATACTCTGATTCTAACCTGTCATCCTCGCCATCTGATACATTATCGTCTGAACCCTCGACGTGCTTGAAGTCTGATTTTGAGTCCTGCCCCGAATCAGATACCCCCTGAGCACTCATAGGTCGGCAATCTTTCCAAAAACTTGAACCCCATTTCCCAGACACATTTCCCTTTCCAGAAGAAGGCTGAAAATGTGAATTACTTGCACCAGCTTCATGGTCAGGAGCTCCATCATCCGGCACCCTACTCTCCCCTAGTTCAGTCTCACTTTCATACCGTGGATCGATGTTCATATCGAATTCTCTTTCACTGGAAGTCCCATCAACATCCTCGCTCCCAACCATTCTACCAGGATTCTGACCCTTTTCTTCAGCTCTGTTTGAGATTGTTTCAGCAGAATAGTTCCTAAAGAAGGCCATTGTCGACCATGGATCCTATATGATAATTACTCCACGCGTAAATTAAACTATCTTGAAGAGCCAAAACCTGATCATCAAATAAAAGAATAAGTGGCTTCAGATAGAAGGCAATGAACAGGAGAGCAAGATGAACTACGTTTGCTTCTTAGTCCATCAATTCAGAAGGTATGTAGAACATTAGGGTTTGCAATAGCTTCACATAAGAGGGCAAGAGAAAGAGAGTAAATACTCTGTGGGTCAGCCGGCACAAAAATGCAGAAAAGCTTGAAAACATCTCGTAGGATTGGATACGAAAGACAAACGTTAGGATGGACATTGACTTCTTGAGATCAGAATCAACAGCAGCAGACTAGTAAATCACAGAACAAGTGCTTCGAGAAGTGGAAACGAAGTGAGAACTGGAGCAATCATGAGAACTACTGTACTTCACACTGACGACCGAATTTGGCGCAAAATTCAATCGCCACGTAAATTGCATCGATCCCAGGGGACAAAAGGCTCGCTACCGTATCACATAAAGGATAAAATCACATCAAACACAGCAAGCTGCAGATCCACTAGCTAACAAGCAATTCCAAATGAAACAAACACCTGAGGACTCCCAAAACCCAATCCCGAAACCCTAATGTCGCACAACGACCCCAAATTCGGAATCGGAAACCCTAAATTGACGACAATCGACAGAAAAATGCAAAAATCCGGACGCGGAAATGCAAACGGATGATTGAACGCGAGGCTGACGTTCCTCGGACGACGAAAGTGGACGGAGGCGTCCTAATTAGGTCAAATGACTCCAAGGAAAACGAGAGAGCGGGACAGTTTGATGATTGCGCACACCTTTGAATCGCCGGTGAGGCAATCGGCCGGCAGGCGAGGAAGGAATTTGGGAAAGGATGGCGAAACGACGTCGCGTTTTTTCGGTTGGTCTGAGTCTCGGTTTTTCGGCTTCGTTTAAAAAAACTTCGCCGCGAGTTTCGATGTCGGGGATCGGGATGGAGAATCGGCGGCGAAGGTGGTGTGGGCTGGGTATAGGTATGCCGGTGGGATGACGTTGACAATGTTTTCCGGCTGGAAGGGGAGGCGGGGGGGGAAGAAGACGAGGGGGTGGCGATTTCGGATTAATCGTGGATTGGCAGAGGAAAGGAGGAAAATACGGGAAATTAGAAAATTAGAAAAAGAAGAGAGGGCGCTGTGTGTGTAATTGACAAATTGTTTCTCAATAGAGAGAGAATACTTTTCTCGTTTTCTTTACCTTTTTACCCTTTAGAGATGGCTGTCGAAAAGCAGAAATTACAGGTCGCGTTTGGGGATTTAAACGACGTTCTGAAAGGAATCAGAAACGTGTTTGTTTATGAGACATTTTTGGATTTTTCTCTTTTCAGTCCCTCTATTTTATTTTTATTTCACTAAACTAAAAATGTACATTGATCGTGTCAAAACCTAGGGGTGGGCAACGGGAAACGGGTATTTGGTAGGGGTGGCTATACGGTCCGGTCCGGTTAAATTGGCCTAAATTGATCCGGTCCGGTCCGGTTTTTTTGAAAATATAAGGACCGAAGATTGGATTGGATACAGTCCGGTCTTGATCCGGTCCGGTCTTGACCCGGTCCGGTCCCAATTCGGTCTTGATTTTATATTGAGATTGTGGGAATTTGAGTGGCCTAAGGCCTAAAAGGGTGAGGAGTTGGTTAAGTTTTATACTAAGTGCAAAGGTTTGTGACCGTTTATGCAAATTACCCTTAAGTTTTTGGTGTTGAGCTCTCTTATCCGGTCTTTATCCGGTTTTTTACCTCAAATCTAAACCCAAAGATTGGATTGGATTGTTTACTATCCGGTCCCGGTCCGGTCTCGATCCGGGTTATACGGTCCGGTTTCCGATTTTTCATCCGGTCCCGGTCCAAATAGCCAGCCCTAGTATTTGGGTATACACGTACTCGTCCCATTTTTTAAGGGTTACGGGTACCATATTACCCGTCATATTATAAATGAATGGAACTTGGGATTGTACATTCCTAATATGGGTACCCGAGGGTTACCCGCGAATACCCGTTTGGGTAATATGGGTACCCGTTATACCCATTCAATACAAAGGCAGTCCAGCCAAATTTAGAACCCTGGCCATTTCGACCCTCACCCTTGCAATTTCAATTCCATTTGTCATTTGGGCCCAGGGCCCTTACCCTTTCAGTGAGACTCAGCTTCTCTGCTATAGATTTTAGCTTCCCGTGAACCTAAAAATTTGGACACTTTTTGCATTCAACAACCCAAGAAAAGTAGCGGCATGCCTCCCATTTGATTGTGTTGAATGAAACTTCTTATTTGATAATTTGGTGCTTTGAATGATTTATTTCTATGTGTTGTGATTGTTCATGAATGTGTTATTTGCAAACCGAGTATTTGTGATTGGGATGTATTTTGTGTCTTGTGATTGTTAAGCAAATACAAGTTTAACCTTTTGTTAAAATTTTAGTGGTTTAAACTTTGGGTATTTATGGGTAGTATGGGTACTCGTTATCCGTCCCGTACGGGAAATGGGTACCCGTTTCCCATATGAGTTTGGGATATGGGATGGACTTTGTGCTCCAAACGGGACTGGGTACCCGTTGGTATCCCGTCCCGTCCCGTTGCCCACCCATATCAAAACCTATATACTTTACACAAGGTCAGATTTTCTTTATCATGCGTCTAGGAAACTGTCCCAATGTGACGTTATTTAGTTGAGGTTCGGATCAATCTGAAGGTGGAAAAACATTTAGTGATAATTGTTTTGGAGGAGCCAAACAAGATTTAATAAAATTGACCAAAAAATATTAGTTATTAAGAAAGCAATGTACTTTGTACTAAGAATGGTTTTTTTTTCAAGTAATAACAGAAAGATAGTTAGAACAAAAACTACCCAAACTCCCTCCCCACCCCGCTAACAAACCAACCTACAACATCAAAATAAGCTAACTCTAACCGAGACATCAATAGGGCTTTACGTGCCACTCTATGGGCAGCCCAGTTGGCAGTCCGCGGAACCGCCCTAAATTCTATACAAAGAGACAAAGACCCAAGGATAAGCTTACAATCGCTAAGAATGGGACGACCCACGGAATCCTCCACTGCACCAAGGCTAAGTTGACGGATGACCACAGCGGCATCTCCCTCGATGATGACACGAGGCAGACTTCTAGAAACTGCAAGTGAGATCGCATCCCTTGCTGCAAGGAGCTCTGCAAGGTACGAGTATGAAATACATGTATGTTGGAAACCTGAGGCAAGTAGAACATGACCGTCTGAGCCACGAACAACAAGACCAGACTAGCAACTAGAGGCTTGAACAGCAGCATCAAAATTGATCTTCTATAACAAAACGTTTGGTAAGAAGAGATGAAAAGTCGTTAGAGATCGTGATGACTGATGAGTGATGACTATTGGTTGAACAAGATGGTTTGAAGAAGAAGAGTTTCACATTGTCGAGGTTAGGGCATCACCTTTGTACGACCTTACTCCACGACTCACAAGCCCACAAGGTTTCAGAGCTGTAAGATAGTAAAATCAAGTTAGCTAAGTCGTAGAGCTGCAAGGATGCAAAATTGCTCTGCAATCACATCATATTATTCACATACTTGATACCCCACATCATCGATTTTTTTTATGGTACTGTCGAACCCACAATGATGAAATGTTGTTCCGTGAACTTACAAGGTTGCAAAGTGCAATGTTGCACAACCGAACCTCATAGGTTTGCAAGGTTCCTCCTGTTTTCACGATGATGCTAACGCTACAAAGTTACACTATGAGTTGACAAGGCTATAAACGTCGCAATGTCACGAGGTTTTGCCGCGAGCCAACAAAGCTGTGCAATGATCCTGGAAAACCCTTAACCTGCAAGGTCACATCATAGCCACAATATCGTATTTTTCATATAACCACGAGCCTACAATGCCATAAGTTTGCATTGTGAGTTATCGAAGTTGCGCCACTATCAAGGCGTTGTTTTTCGAGGAACCGAAAGCCTATGAGCTCATAAGGTTGCAACACGACTTTCCGCACCACATCTCTGCAAGGTTGAGTTGCAAGTTAGCACCATAGACCGTTGGACACCACACTATCACATTAAGCAAGAACAACCCGAAGAAACTTACAGTACAGGCCAAGAATAGATTACAGGAAGTGCATAATGACTCGTACAATGAAGTTTGGTGTTTTAGTTGTCTCGAAACCGAATTGGGTGCCCAATGCTGTGAACTTATGAGTTCAATGACAGAGTTGGTGATCCACACTGTACTTTTCACTGTCACCTTTTATGCATTTCTACTCCCATTTATCACTTCAGTACCTTCATTATTATCATGTGAGTAATTGACTACTACATCAGAAAGGGTTCACGGTCTGTCATATCACGAATAACGAACGAAAGAACAGGAGTAAAAGTTCTAACTAAAATGAATCAAAATTAAGTAAATATAGAATGGTCTAGTCTTCGGTGTTGTTCGCTATGAATTCTCCACTTGCATCCCAGGGGCGGCTTTCAAACGACTTCCCAATCATGCTTCGGTTCTGGTTCACAGTCCCATCCTGGCACCGGTACTCCGGAAAGTAATCCAAGAACCCTTTGCTTCCCAGTTCTTCAATTCCATGGAATAGAAAGTTCCTAATCACGTCCTGCCATTAAAACACACATCTTGCTGTAAGCAACTTACTACAATAACCTTGATTAAGTGCTGAACAACAGAGGAATCAACAGATTCTTGTACCTTGGCACGCATTTCCCCCACTAACCTCTTCAGTACACCATGTCCTGGGTCCTGCTTTGCAGTCATAGACATGAGACAACAGAGACAAAAACGAAACAGATTAACGGAAATCTTTTATCTGCTTATCTCTGACTCAGTCGAGTGAACTTAAAGCAAAATCAAGAAAGAACTCATCACAGGAGCAAAGGAAATGTTTAAAGTTACACCACCTTCTCAGCTCTCCATGTCAGATACCGGTGTTGCGCTTCACGATTGCTTAAAACAAGAGCGTCATCAGTTTCTTCTGCAGCTTCCTCAATCAGCTGAAGCCATGCCTAAACGGCAAGCAAAAACACATATGTTCAATTTAGGAACCTGGAGACCAACTTGCTAGACATGTTTTTGAATGTGTATGTACGTATGCAAAATCCCCCCCCCCCCCCCCACCTTGTAGTACTCTGTGAATGCAGAATACAGATTTTCGTACATGCAATCAACCGACTGGAACTTGGTCCATATCACAATCGGCGAGAAGAATTTCAAAGACTCACTGGTCAGCTTGCCTCCCCATGGTAAAAGCTGCATGAAATCTGTGTTCAGTGCAGTCGAGCCAATACAAATTGAACTTTTAGGGTCGGTTGATTATGAAACAAAAACAAATCCTCGTCGTCATAATACTCAAACGTACCCTTCAGATTGTTCTCACCTCAGCATACCTAAGACCTAAATCCATCAGCTTCTCATAGTATTTCTCCTTGTAGTCTTTTCGATCGCTGATGTTATGCAAAGGGTTGAGGTCTCTACAAGTAAGCAACAATCACATTGATCAGAAAGTCCAGAATCAAATAGCTGCCACAGAACAAAGAAGATGGATATTGTGAGAACTTACAGCACAATAATGTTGATGTTAGCAGTGGAGAAGAAGTTGGCACAGAATATGGGCACATCATATTCTGGTCTGGCAAACCCAGCAAAGTCCAGAACCTGGAAATGGACATTTGGATAATTGCGAGGAATCAAATGAAATGATCTAGTTAGCAACAGGAGAAAATGAATACGTTGAAACCAGCATCCTTCTAGGTCAAGGACAACATAACAAATCCATGTTTCCTTTCACATTTCAAGACCTTGTTCACGGTCAGATTTCCTGTCTAATTTCCAGAAATCTAACGAGTTTTACCCCCAACTGAACTTTGTACCGTTAACTACGAAGTACACTATAAGTTCTCCCCTTCAAATTGCTTAATAACGGATGACTTAGAGCAACTCAGTGTCACATTTCAAGAACCAAAAGTTGGTTTCACAAAGAAATTAAAGCTAATTGTCCCAAACTTAGATGAAACGTTAATTTGCATCCCATACATCCACACATGGACATAGCAACATGAAAAACATCAGTAAATTCTCAGTTTCACAGAACCATTCTTAT